CATGCAACTCTTTTTTCTATAACAATGTTTTTCAAGTCTTAGTTACGAATTAAGGTGATACATGTTTCAACAAACCTGGGGACCCAGTCTATACAAGTAGCTGTTGTGCTACCCGAGGAAGTTTTGTGCCGAGGAAGATGTTTTGTGCCGAGGAAGATGTTTTGTGCCGAGGAAGGTCCTTTCATCAACAGGATGGTAGTCATGCTTTTTTAAATGATTGTACAGACAGGAATGAAATCGGGCTTTCTTAAATGAAGGGTGAGTGAACTATATATACGTCCCTTGATACATACATGTTCATTTTTTTCCAACTCTTGTTCAGCGGTTGCATGAGCTTCCTTTGTTATTTCATCAACATCATATTCCCCACTCTTCATCTTGTATTTACCTTGCAACGTCAGTGCTATTGCCATGGTAACAGCAACGCATGATGCAACACATCGAGGGTCGGCATGAGTGACCTTACATGCATTCTTGGTGTTTTCTATAACTTTGGGCAAATCATGATATTGCATTGTTCCAAGAATTGACGTTCGCATTACTCCACCATTTGGTGCTACGAAATAACCACTTTTTACCCATATGTCATGTGCCGCCTAGTTTATAGAGAATTATGGAAATTATATTAGACAAAACAAAATAACATTACCTGTTGCCATGGAGATGTGATTGGAGAGATTTATTGATTGATTGGAGAAATTCATTGATTGATTGGAGAAATTCATTGATTGATTGGAAAAATTTATTGATTGATTGGAAAAATTTATTGATTGATTGGAGAAATTCATTGATTGATTGGAGAAATTCATTGATTGAATGGAGAAATTTATAGATTGATTGGTGAGATTCATTGATTGATTGGAGAAATTCATTGATTGATTGGAGAAATTTATTGATTGGATTAATTGATTGGATCATTCCATTTGAGTGTATCAATTCATTATTTAATCGACACATTCATTTGATTGGATGATTGGATCAAGTCACCAATTAGCAGTTGATTTATTGACCGCCCACCTGATGTGGATCATATAGAGAATTATGGAAATTATATTAGACAAAACAAAATAACATTACCTGTTGCCATGGAGATGTGATTGGAGAGATTTATTGATTGATTGGAGAAATTCATTGATTGATTGGAGAAATTCATTGATTGATTGGAAAAATTTATTGATTGATTGGAAAAATTTATTGATTGATTGGAGAAATTCATTGATTGATTGATTGGAGAAATTCATTGATTGAATGGAGAAATTTATAGATTGATTGGTGAGATTCATTGATTGATTGGAGAAATTCATTGATTGATTGGAGAAATTTATTGATTGGATTAATTGATTGGATCATTCCATTTGATTGAGTGTATCAATTCATTATTTAATCGACACATTCATTTGATTGGATGATTGGATCAAGTCACCAATTAGCAGTTGATTTATTGACCGCCCACCTGATGTGGATCAGTTAGGTAATCAGGATGTTCCAACACTTTAACTGTCGTCATTCCTCTTCCCATTCCTCCTGAGTCACCTAACTCTGGAAAACCTTTCCTACACCATGTCAGCATCTTGTTTGCAAACAGCATCTTGTCAAACTGAAACATACAGACTAAATACATTTATAAATTAACCCTTCAAGTGTCAATGTGCCCTGATGCACCCTACTTTATTATTTTACTTAGTCGAACACCAGATGATTTTACTTGTCAAGGGGAGAGTGCTGCCACTCAAATTGGGTTAAAGATTATCTTTAAGTTTTAGTTAATGTGGATAATTTTGTTAGATTAACTTTCAAAATGCAAATCAAACAATATCATTTTATATACCTGTCCATCGCGTTCCAAAAGTGTTTGCAAGATTAATATCATTTGATCCGAGTCGTCTGTCCAATCACCTTGCACCCATCTGATGCGATGACTGTCGTTTGATTTCATCTCGTATTCAAGATTTATATCTTTTGTGAAAAAATGCTTGCCCACAGAACCGTACACCTAAATGAGAATTGACTTATAGATAACTAGAGGGCACTCAGAGACTGCATACCTCCACCCCCATTGAATTTCAATCATGTGAAATGCAACTAAGACAATAGATAATGAAGGTTGAAACTTAATGAGGTTTATCATCTCATTATTGTCTTAGTACTGCGTGCATACATTATACACGTCCTAATTACGCATTCAGTGAGTTTTTAATTGACCAGGAAAAGCAAGACAAAATTTTGTTGATTTCTCGTTCAATTTTTAACCAAATTCAACCAAATTTTAATCGGTTCTTCCTTAGCCGTTGGGAAATGAACTCAAAAAATTTCGTATAAATATGTTTGGTATTTCTTGAGTTATCGTGCTCACAGACAAACACACACACACACATACAAACCCAGATGATTACATAACCTCCTGGCGGAGGTAACTATGATGGCAATCAAGATGTTTTGGATCTGTCAAATTTTGGATGTCTCCAGTGATGTCATTAATCTAGCTGTAATGCACCCTACTCTTTACTCCATCTAACACCAGATGATTTTACTGATCAAGGGACACTCTGTCCATTATGTCACAGGTCAAACTCAACTGTTAACCATCGAGGCTCATTTCTATATTATACAAATACCGAGGTATCACTGTAGAGCATGCTCTCCTTACCATACGTGCTTGCTCCTTGCTCATAAATTCAGTCAACAGTCCAACTGCATCTCCTATACAGTTACCATAAATAACTCCTTTAACTTGGTCAATCAATTTCTCAGAAAGGACATCCTCATAATCCACTTTATCGATACCTGTCTCTTTGATTGAACTTTCTTGACCTGCATTTCTTAGTTCACTATTTGAAGTGTCCATTTCTGTCGCATCTGTTGTGCTCTTCGTAGCAGGCTCGTCTTCTATATTTGATACATTCCCTTCGGCTATATTCTCATGATTTTTGTTCTCTGATTCTAATTCTGTAGCTTTGAACTCCTCTTTGCCAGATTCTAAGCCGGTAGGTGTATCTTCCATATTCTCTGGTTGCAGAAGTCTTACACCTGACCTTCCACAATATTTTTTTGCACATCAAATAAACAAATTTCGATCGTTTCCTGTGTTTAATACTCACTTACACGCATACTTCCGGTTCACCTTTTTAATTAATCGTGCGAAAAAGAAGATTAAATAAACATTCTAAATGTTTTTCGAAACATAACAAATTGCGACAAAATATTGCAATTAAAAATAGTTTTGCTACATTTATGTTACAATTTTTGAAAAAAATCAAAATATTCCGATTTGGCGGTAAAATTATATGTGGCGCGAAGCATTGCTGTCCATTTTCACAAACACCCCTCCCCCCTCTTAAAATTCAATACGCACAAATCTAAATGAATCACTAAAACAAACTTTGTAATGCATCTATTCTACTCTTACATATTTATACAAATTAATATATCGACAATACATTAAAACATAATATTGCGGGTGCAGTAAAAACATGACGCGGATCAGCGTGCGGAGAACACTAACGTCTGCGGGCAGGCAGAAAGCGGACCGAAAACTTTATCCTTTGGTGCATTTCTTTTAGTGTTGCAATCCAAGCAGTGTGAAGTAGCTAAAAATAAAACAACAGATTTAGTTTTTGAAAAGAGTACGACCAAACATATCAACTACTCCTAGATCTCATTGCCAGAAATACGCGACATATACGCGACATATGCGAAAAGGAAAACCGAAAGTAAGGTGGAAAATTAAGCTATTACTTGAACCAGCAACCTCAGATATTGTACTTACATGGACCAATTTCGCATGTTTGATTTTGTCGATGTTACGACTTCACGAACGGTTTGTTTATGTAAAACTGGGGTTTAATTGGCGCTCACACAGACTAAACCTTAGAGAACCAACACGATTTTATACATTTTGTGAGGGAAAACCGAAAATTTGCCAATAGCGATCAATTTTTAGTCCATGATGTTCTTCAACATTAACTTTAACAAGATCTAATTTCGCATTTCGAGATATAGAACATCTTCTTCTAGTATTGTGGAATTTGTGGTCTGCCATGGGGAATTGCGCAATCGCGGATGTCGCATATTTCTGGCTATGTGGTAAAATGTACAAAACCTTTTAATTTCTTTGTCCAGCCAGCCTCGATTACATAGACCGTTGACCCAAGATTTGGGCAATTTGTGAAACCCAACTTTACAGCCCAATAAGGCCCCTGCAACTGCACAGTTAGTATCTGCATCACCAGCCTAGATATGAAAGAGCAGTTATTATCGTTCAAGAACTCTTCAGAAGGGGAAGAGATGCAAATAAATCACCACAGCTAGAAAGAGCATATTAAAATTAATAAAATTGCAATGTTTGGTTGCGAAATGTTGTAAAGTGCGGAAAATATAGCCTTGCAAAGTTTGCAAATTTTGTGTACAGTACTTTTGTATTGCGTGCGAAAATTGCTACCATTTTCGGCCCAAATGTGGTGGCAATTTCCGCACGCAATACAAAAGTATACAAAATTTGCGAAATTTGCAATTTTACTCATTTTAGTATGCTTTTTCCGGGAATATACTTTTTTGCCAAGATATAATGGAATTGTCTATTAATAATGCAAACCTCCATTGTAATTGCCTGTATTGCTTCTCTAAAATCTTTCTGTCTGAATGCCCAGAAACCAGCCCCCATACACTTGAAAGTGTAACCAATGGCCTGTGGAGAGTCCAACTCTAGTTTGTCAAGTGATTCTGCAAACATGTGGTGCTTCAGCTCGTCTTTCTATACAAGAAATCAGTGGAATCAAAATTTGATATGTCAAGCAAGATTATACACTTCTATCTTTCGCTTATTTTTGACCCAAAGTTGTTCTCAGTCAAAGGATGTGGTTGATAAAATATCGCGACGGTTACTGTGGTTCTCCGTTAGAAAAACTGCGCATTGATAGGGATACAACTACCTGAAAAATACAAGGAGAACTTCGACGTTTCGAGCGAAGGCGCTTGAAAGACCTGTTGGAAAAGTATACTCACATATTGCGGTGTCTCTTTAAGTTCTTGTTCTGCATACCAGTGAGCAGTGCTCATAATTGCGTCGATGTCATGTTTTCCTTTATTATGTTTGCGTTGCAACATCAGGGCTATTGCTATGGTAACAGCAACACATGACGCAATACATCGCGGGTCAGCATGCGTCACCATGCAAGCACTCCTTGTATTCTCAATGACTTTGTCCAAGTCACGAAATTCCATCGTACCCAGAACTGACGTTCTCATAACTCCACCATTTGGAGCGATGTATCTTCCACTGCCTTCCCATACGTCTTTGGCCGCCTGGCAATGACCATAGTGAGTTTACAGATTTAGTAAATAGGTGGGGGGGGGGGTAGGGGGGGGATATATCATCCTTATACTGTCAGCTGAGAGCTAAGCTGAATTACGAAGGATGTAGCTCAACCTGACGAAGTTCAAGGCTTTCTAAGGGCGCCTCTGACAACCACCTTATAACTCATGTCTGATCACGGAGTACAGCTACAGTGGAAGGGTCAGTTAGGGGCTCATCCCAACCCACCCTGTCAACATTCCCTGTGGGTGGAAACCGGATCTAATCAGACAAATGGTTTCTACCTTGTGAGGATTCTTTAAGAAATATCTATAATCAGACCTGTGGTTTCTACCTTGTGAGGATTCTGTATAAGAAATATCTATAACCAGACCTATGGTTTCTACCTTGTGAGGATTCTGTATAAGAAATATCTCTAATCAGACCTATGGTTTCTACCTTGTGAGGATTCTGTATAAGAAATATCTATAACCAGACATATAGTTTCTACCTTGCGAGGATTCTGTATAAGAAATATCTATAATCAGACCTATGGTTTCTACCTTGTGAGGATTCTGTATAAGAAATATCTCTAATCAGACCTATGGTTTCTACCTTGTGAGGATTCTTTAAGAAATATCTATAATCAGACCTGTGGTTTCTACCTTGTGAGGATTCTGTATAAGAAATATCTCTAATCAGACCTGTTATTTCTACCTTGTGAGGATTCTGTATAAGATTCTGTATAAGAAATATCTCTAATCAGACCTGTGGTTTCTACCTTGTGAGGATTCTGTATAAGAAATATCTCTAATCAGACCTGTGGCAGTTCTACCTTGTGAGGATTCTGTATAAGAAATATCTCTAATCAGACCTATGGTTTCTACCTTGTGAGGATTCTGTATAAGAAATATCTCTAATCAGACCTATGGTTTCTACCTTGTGAGGATTCTGTATAAGAAATGTCTATAACCAGACCTATAGTTTCTACCTTGTGAGGATTCTTTAAGAAATATCTCTAATCAGACCTGTGGTTTCTACCTTGTGAGGATTCTGCATAAGAAATGTCTATAACCAGACCTATAGTTTCTACCTTGTGAGGATTCTTTAAGAAATATCTATAATCAGACCTATGGTTTCTACCTTGTGAGGATTCTCCAAGAAATCTCTATGACTGAGAACAGAGGCTGTCGTCCTGCCCAGCCCACAACCGCGTGTATCACCAAGCTCCTCGTAACCATGGCGTACCCAGTGCCTCAATTTCTTTGCAAAGTCTTTTTCAACAAACTGTGTAAAATGACGCAAAACATGTATACTATATAAAAATTAGTTTCATTTCGAGACATAAAGCACACCTGCCCCAACGGGTCTTAATTCTTGGGTTTCACTACAGCATTATGCAGTGAATCTGACGGGGGGTCAACCTCAAATGTATTGATGCTTATGCTGTACTGGAGTGAGAAAATGATACGAAATTCCATGTATTTGCCACCAAACACAAGGCTAATACATAAAACGAACAATCGACTCACTCTGATAACTGTGTTTTGTTTTAGAGTTGACCCCCGTCACTTCATATGAAACCCAAGAATACTCACTTTTCCACCATTTTGAACCAATGTTCTAAGAATGAGAATCATTTGATCCGAGTCGTCGGTCCAGTCTCCTTCTTTCCAGTTACAGCGATGGAGATCAGCAACCTTCTGGTTGTACTCCAGGTCTTTTCTATAGAATAGCTTCATCACACGTTTGCCACCATAGTGCTAAGGAATAAGAAATCAAGGAAACTGTGTAAGAAGTGAAGGAATAAGAAATCAAGGAAACTGTGTAAGAAGTGAAGGAATAAGAAATCAAGGAAACTGTGTAAGAAGTGAAGGAATAAGAAATCAAGGAAACTGTGTAAGAACTGAAGGAATAAGAAATCAAGGAAACTGTGTAAGAAATGAAGGAATAAGAAATCAAGGAAACTGTGTAAGAAGTGAAGGAATAAGAAATCTCTATCAGGGGCGGGTTGTCCAAAGCTGGATTAGCGCTAACCCTGGATAAAAATTTAACATGATGTTTTAGTTCATGTATTTCTGCACTCAGTGTGTTTATTTCAAAACTTCAGAGAAGAAAACTTCTACTGATCCAGACAAGATTTCTGAAGAAATATTTCGAAATTTATAAACAAGCTCTTGGGATGTTTGCTTTGGATTTTAGGTTAACCTAGCGTTAAGTTCATTGGCTTTGAAACAACTGCCCAGAAACTGAACAAGAAACAAATAAAATAACGAACTTTTTGAGCTTCGTTTTTGTCCATGAATTCTGTCAACAATCCAATGGCATCCCCGATACAATTTCCATATAAAACTCCTTTTATTTGATCAACAAGCTTTTTATCATCACACCGAGGCTCGTCTCTCGCAGACAAGGCAGTTGCCCCTTCAAGCTTGGCTCCACCGCCAGTTTGATCTGTATTTGTGACAGACACGATGGTTGCTTGTAGCGTGTCTCCATCATCACACCGAGGTTTGTCTGTTGTAGTCACGGCAGCTGCATCTTCTAGCTTCACTCCATCATGACTGGTATCTGACAGAGACAAGGCCATGGCTTCCTTTAACTGGTGGTCATCAGACTGAGGTTTGTCTGTGGTAGACAAGGTGCCTTCTAGCTTTACATCACTATCAGTAAGACTGCTTCTTGAGTCAACCTCTGGTGTATGTTGACTTGTTGTCCCCGACTTCTTGTCCTTCTTGGGAAGCTCATCATCAGACTGAGGTTTATCTGTGATTGTGGTAGACAAGACGCCTTCCAGTTTTACATCACTATCAGTCAGACTGCTTCTTGAGTCAACCTCTGGTGTATCTTGACTTGTTGTTCCCGACTTCTTGTCCTTCTTGGGAAGCTCATTATCAGACTGAGGTTTATCTGTGACTGTGGTAGACAAGACGCCTTCCAGTTTTACATCACTATCAGTCAGACTGCTTCTTGAGTCAACCTCTGGTGTATCTTGACTTGTTGTCTCCGACTTCTTGTCCTTCTTGGGAGCTGGCAAAATGGCAGAGGTCGGTTTTGCAGGAATTTCCTTTGCATTGTTATCTTCCATGTTATCAAGAGACCTTCACAAAAGTTTTTTTGATAGGTTTACTTCGATACTGCAGAGGATATAGTATGGTACTCCTGCTTTGAATGTTACTAAAAATATGAAATGTAATTATCATGTACTCAGTTAAAAAGTCAATAATTCATGAGAAAAGACAAAGGAATCACTCCCATGTCGATGGTTTTATGTGATAAAAAATCATGTTCATTTACACAAACTTTCACTTTCTCGGGTTAGACAACGTTTATTTTTAACATTACTTCGCTAATGAACTCATAAGATGGGTCGTTTTTAAAGTCATTTAAGTCACTTGTAGTCTAGATGGGTCGTTTTTTTTAAGTCACTTCATGCTTTATCAGATATAAAACACTCATGCTGCGCACTCGTGTTTATATCCTATACAAGAAAATAGATTGCTGAAAAGATATTATAGCAGAAAAATAGGTACGCATTGCCTACATGTGGGTAGCCTACATGTATATGTGGTAAGCCTTCACAGGTGTAGGTAGGAACTGGGGGGCACTGGGGGTACATACCCCCTCCCCCAAGTTACCCTCAAAGTACCCATTTTTAAGATAAAACAATGGGGAAAATGCCTTTTTAATAAAAAGGTGCCCTTCTTATGTAGTGCCCCCCACCCAACTCCATGTTGCTTCCTACCCCCCTGAAGCCTTGTGGCTTCTGCTTAATAATTAACAAGTCTGTAAAATGAAAAATGTATGAACTGTTTAATACTTCACAAATATAAAACATTTTCCGTGTTGATATACAGTTATATCAACACAAGTGGAAATTGGGAAAACGAGAAATTGTGTTTTCCCAATTTCCACAAGTGTTGATATAACTATATATCAATACGGAAAAAATGTTTTATATTTGTTTTATAATATAGCACAAAGAAACATAAAGAAAGAAATTTTCCGACGTTTCCATGCTGACATTGAGTTATATCAACACGGCTCTTAGCCAATCAGCGTTCAGAATCTACAAATGCTATATTATAATGTTGTTTAATAAATTATGTTGAAAGACTTTGATGATAGCCTATGAAGTCGTTGGATTGGCTTCACTGTCACTGAAACTTTTGATAATGCAAAACAAACATTTACTTCTACAAGTATTAATGCATGACCTTGATGGAAATCGGCATGAACTGTAAATAAGTATACCTGGATTTTCCTCAACATCATTCGAAAGTCTTAATAATAATGGTACATAAACATGATAGCATTCCATCTGTGCTGAACAACATTATTTTTGCCAATTCTAGTCACTAAACTAGACAAAATGCATTAAATAGAACACCATCAACATTTGATTCCAGAATTTACCTTTCAGTTGAGATATTATTTTAATTGGGGTAAAATTGTAGTATGAACAAATCCTTGATTGATAGGTCTTAACTGCGACACCCATAATTCCAGTCAAGTGAAACAGTTAATGTTGTTTTGTCATGTATCGGTATGAATCCTTTACCTGTAAGTTGGCAGATAGGGCAGTTGTATTATATTCCCCAATCTGGGTTTTTTATATATACCTGCACAATGGCGAGGTTCAATTTGTTTACCTGCACAATGGCAAGACAATTAGCAGTAGCACAGTGGCTCGCTGACATTTTGGTACCAGTGGCACAGTGCCAGGGTGCATTCCATCTATACTCTACGCCGGAGATATGCCAACATGTACGATCCTTTACACCAATTTTCAATTTTTGGGACTTAAATCCATGTTTTGAAAATAGCCAATAATCAATATGGTTTTTTTTTATATGTACTGCATGTCAACATCATATTCGTGTAGTTATACTGTCAATTTACATGTGGACATGAAATCAGACACAAACTAATCACTTGTTTTCGAGTGATCTCACGCCATTACGCCAACAATTTTGTAACCTCACGCCGGATATATCCGGCGTGGAGTGCATGGAATTGACACTGGGCACAGTGGCTTGCTAATATCTTGTAGCAGCTGTGGCAGTGGCTTTCTGGTGAAAAAGGGCAACCTGTTGCCCCCACACTGTTTCGGCAACGGAGGCAGTTGCCCCCATGGCTCCGGCGCCCCCTGGTAGCAGCTGTGTCGCAATGGCTTGCTGATGTTTTGGTAGCAATGGCACAGTGGCTTGCTGATATTTTGGTACCAGCTATGTCACGGTGGCTTGCTAATATTTTGGTAGCAGCTGTGTCGCAATGGCTTGCTGATGTTTTGGTAGCACTAGCAGTGGCTTACTGATATTTGGGTAGCAGCTGTGTCACAGTGCCAGTGGCTTGATGATATTTTGGTAGCAGTGGCACAGTCACCACAGTGGCTTGCCTGATTTAAGATCAGTGCAAACACATTGGCTTCGTTTAATTTTTGCAAAATGGCGTGCGATCAAATATTTTTACCACAGCTGACCAAAACAGCGTATTTTTACGAATATAAATCGCAAAATTCGATTTATTTAAAATGAACAACGATTTATACTCACTGTTAATAATATCCTGTTTTCAATTTTAAATGCAAGATGGTTTTTGCTTTGTTATGTGTCCTGCTGTGTTTAAACTGAACAAAAGGTCGATATATAAAATACATGTAGAATACTCGCCGTTGGCGTTGCTTTATAAAACGTCTTTAATAGAAATACTAAACTTTTCTATACCTCGCAAAAAGCTCGCAAACTATAAAACCACTCTCCTCCGCAGAGCCTTTTAATAATATACGAATTTTTAGTAAAACCAAAGAGTAAAGATATATACTTCCTCCGTGGTAAAACTAGGAGTTACTATCGCAAGGAAAGTGCTGCCTCAGGGATTACGTAATATTACCACAGATGAGGTAAGTACAGACACAGAATAGGAAGTTATACCAGAAGCGTAACTCGAGCAAATATTTGTCCGCGTTTTTCAAGCGATTCGTCATCAATCACGCCATCCTGGCTAGTACAACCGGCACTTTGTACCTACCAAATCCTGATAAAAACTTCCGGCTGTACTAGCCAGGATGGCGTGGCCTGACGTGAGCGAGTTAAAAATTTTCGTGGACGTCAAACAATAAGGGAAACGACTAGAGTTACGCTTCTGGTATAACTTCCTATTCTGTGGTACAGACATGAATCTCACGGCAAATTATGTCACACGGATTCAATAAACTTTAAAATTGTATTAATTCACTATTTTATTAAATTTTGATAATGCAGAGGAATAAAACTATACGTATTATAGAAGTATTCATGTTTTTTTATGCGAGAGCTATGTTTTGAGGCATTTATATCATTCGCTGTTTTGTTATTTAAACACGAGCATCTGAAATTCCCAGCAACTGTATTTCACGATTTTAATAAGAAGTAGATAGGGAAAAAAACAAACCTTTGCTAAATAAAATGTTATATTAACACTTTTAATAAAAAGAAATCAATAAAAGTGATCGCTTACCGTTACTCTTGAAGAATTAATTCCAAAAATAGCCGTCGGTAGCGTAGCCTTTCTAAAAAAACAATTTTTCGTCTTTCGAACGGCGTTTTCCTATCTCTTTCCTTATTAATTAAATTTCAGAACGACACTTGCCAGCGCTCGCCGGAAATGAGAATTCCGTGTGACACAAAACAATCAGCAATTTGACGTGAGATTCATATCTGTACTTACCTCATCTGTGATATTACTTGGGAAACAAATTACGTAATTGTTAGTCAAAACCATAATTTTCACAATACACCCCTCCCCCCCTCTTAAAATTCAATACGCACAAATCTAAATGAATCACTAAAACAAACTCTGCAGTTTGTAATGCATCTATTCTACTCTTATCATATTTATACAAATTAATATATCGACAATACATTAAAACATAATATTGCGGGTGCAGTAAAAACATGACGCGGACCAGCGTGTGGAGAACACTAACGTCTGTGAGCAGGCAGAAAGCGGACCAAAAACTATAAACTTTATCCTTTGGTGCATTTCTTTTAGTGTTGCAATCCAAGCAGTGTGAAGTAGCTAAAAATAAAACAACAGATTTAGTTTTTGAAAAGAGTACGACCAAACATATCAACTACTCCTAGATCTGGTAAAATGTACAAAACCTTTTAATTTCTTTGTCCAGCCAGCCTCGATGACATAGACCCTTGACCCAAGATTTAGGCAATTTGCGAAACCCAACTTTACAGCCCAATAAGGCTCCTGCAACTGCACAGTTAGTATCTGCATCACCAGCCTAGATATGAAAGAGCAGTACTATGGTTCAAGAACTCTTCAGAAGGGGAACATACTAACACCAGTTATGTGTCCTACTGTGGTATTACTTAAACAAAACCTCGTCTATCGAAACAGTGCTGGAAAATATCCGGCTGCCAGGAAATTTTTGACAAAATATCTTTGCAGGGCATTTTTGTCATCTTATATATTGGAATGCCACATAATTTACTTATTCATGATTTTTCTGTATGGTGTAATGTACTCAGGTGAATATGATGCTTGTGATGTTACTCTGAGTGTATATCCACACCGGGCAAGCTTGAAAAATATGCCTTCATGACCACGGTGGGAATCGAACCTACGACCTTTGGAACAAAGGTCGTAGGTTCGATTCCCACCGTGGTCATGAAGGCTATTTTTCAAGCTTGCCCGGTGTGGATATACACTCAGAGTAACATCACAAGCATCATTTACTTATTGTTTCCAAAAGCATTTTGCGAGTCCAGATTGTCTTGTGCCAAGATTGAAGTGTATCACAATGTACGACACCATATTCTCGCTGAAATCTATATAGCTATCATGAGGTTTTACATTTGACTTACACACAGGAGATTTCTATATTTCTGAATTTTGCTGCCAGGAAGAAAAATATATTTTCTAGGCCTGTATCGAAATGGATTAAAATAAGGAAAATTCATAATTCTCAATGCAAACCTCCATCGTAATTGCCTGTATTGCTTCTCTAAAATCTTTCTGTCTGAATGCCCAGAAACCAGCCCCCATACACTTGAATGTGTAACCAATGGCCCGTGGTGAGTCCAACTCTAGTTTGTCAATTGATTCTGCAAACATGTGGTGCTTCAGCTCGTCTTTCTATACAAGAATCAGTGGAATCAAAATTTGATATGTCAAGCAAGATTATACACTTCTTTTCACACTGTCTTTCGCTTATTTTTGAACCAAAGTTGTTCTCAGTCAAAGGATGTGGTTAGTAAAAGATCGCGACAGTTACTGTGGTTCACCGTTGGAAAAACTGCGCATTGATAGGAATACAACTACCTGAAAAATACAAGGAGAACTTCGACGTTTCGAGCGAAGGCGCTTGAAAGACCTGTTGGAAAAGTATACTCACATATTGCGGTGTCTCTTTAAGTTCTTGTTCTGCATACCAGTGAGCAGTGCTCATAATTGCGTTGATGTCATGTTCTCCGTTATTGAACACATATTCGCGTTGCAACATCAGGGCTATTGCTATGGTAACAGCAACACATGACGCAATACACCGCGGGTCAGCATGCGTCACCATGCAAGCACTCCTTGTATTCTCAATGACTTTGTTCAAGTCTGGAAATTCCATCGTACCCAGGACTGACGTTCTCATAACTCCACCATTTGGAGCGATGAATCTTCCACTGCCTTCCCATACGTCTTTGGCCGCCTGGCAATGACCATAGTGAGTTTACAGATTCAGTAAATAGGTGGGGGGGGGGGATAGGTGGGGGATAATCATCCTCACTCGCAGCTGAGAGCCAAGCTGAATTACGAAGGATGCAGCTCAACCTGATGAAGTTCAAGGCTTTCTAAGGGCGCCTTTGGCAGCCACCTTATGACTCATGTCTGATCACGGAGCACAGCTACAGTGGAAGGGTCAGTTAGGGGATAATCCCAACCCACCCTGTCAACATTCCCTGTGGGAGGAAAACCGGAGTGAAATTCTATTTGCGCGAAGTCCATGAAATCAGACTTACGGTTTCTATCTTGTGAGGATTCTGTATAAGAAATATCTATAATAAGACCTATGGTTTCTACCTTGTGAGGATTCTTTAAGAAATCTCTATGACTGAGAACAGAGGCTGTCGTCCTGCCCAGCCCACAACCGCCTGTGTCACCAAGCTCCTCGTAACCATGGCGAACCCAGTGTCTCAATTTCTTTGCAAAGTCTTTTTCATCAAACTGTGTGAAATGACGCAAAACAAGTTTACTATATAAAGATTAGTTTCATTTCTAGACATAAAGCACACCTGCCCCAACGGGTCTTAATTCTTGGGTTTCACACAGCATTATGCAGTGAATCTGACGGGGGGTCAACCTCAAATGTATTGATGCTTATGCTGTACTGGAGTGAGAAAATGATACGAAATTTCATGTATTTGCCACCAAACACAAGGCTAATACATAAAACGAACAATCGACTCACTCTGATAACTGTGTTTTGTTTTAGAGTTGACCCCCCATCACTTCTGTGACGTCACATGAAACCCAAGAATACTCACTTTTCCACCATTTTGAACCAACGTTCTAAGAATGAGAATCATTTGATCTGAGTCGTCGGTCCAGTCTCCTTCTTTCCAGTTACAGCGATGGCGATCATCAACCTTCTGATTGTACTCCAGGTCTTTTGTATCGAATATATTCATCAGACGTTGGCTACCATAGTGCTAAGGAATAAGAAATCAAGGAAACTGTGTAAGAAGTGAAGGAATAAGAAATCAAGGAAACTGTTAAGGGCCTGTTTATATGGAAGCCGGGCTGGCCCGCTAAGCGAGACAGCCCGGTAAGCGAGATCTCGCTGTGTAGTTATTTTTATAGTAAAAATTATCGTGCGTTTATATGGACAAGCGGGCTGGCCCGGTTGCCGAGATCTCACTTGAAAGAGGCGAGATCTCGCTTACCGGGATGGAAATTTCTCCATATAAACACTCACAAGCGGGCTAGCCCGGTTGCTGGGATGAAAGTTCAAAGATACCGCCGCAAGCTATTTTTAACAACTGTCAAAACAATACAATGCAACAAAATTGTCCCGGCAAGCGGGATGAAATTTTATCATATAAACACAAGAGAAATTCATCCCGCTTACCGGGCTGTCTCGCTAAGCGGGCCAGCCCGGCTTCCATATAAACATGCCCTTAAATCTCTATCAGGGACCGGTTGTTCAAAGCTGGATTAGTGCTAACCCTTGGTTAAACCTGCCGTTTTTTTAGTTTATGTATTTCTGCACTTGTGTTTATTTCAAAACTTCAGAGAAGAAAACTCCTACCGATCCAGAAAAGATTTCTGAAGAAATATTTCCAAATTTATAAACAAGCTCTTGGGATGTTTGCTTTGGATTTTAGGTTAACCTAGGGTTAAGTTAATTGGCTTTGAAACAACTGGCCAGAAACTGAACAAGAAACAAATAAAACAACAACGAACTTTTTGAGCTTCGTTTTTGTCCATGAATTCTGTCAACAATCCAATGGCGTCCCCGATACAATTTCCATATAAAACTCCTTTTATTTGATCAACAAGCACTTTATTATCATCACACCGAGGCTCGTCTCTCGCAGACAAGGCAGTTGCCCCTTCAGGCTTGGCTACACCGTCAGTTTGATCTGTATCTGTGACAGACACGATGGTTGCTTGTAGTTCTAGCGTGTCTCCATCATCACACCGAAGTTTGTCTGTTGTAGTCACGGCAGCTGCATCTTCTAGCTTGACTCCACCATGATCGGTATCTGACAGAGACAAGGCAATGGCTTCCTTTAACTGGTCATCATCATCGGACTGAGGTTTATCTGTGACTGTGGTAGACAAAGCGCCTTCCAGCTTCACAACACTATCAGTCAGACTGCTTCTTGAGTCAACCTCTGGTGTATCTTGACTTGTTGTCTCCGACTTCTTATTCTTCTTGGGAGCCGGCAAAATGGCAGAGGTCGCCTTTGCAGGAATTTCCTTTGCATTTTTCTCTTCCATGTTATCACGAGACCTTCACAAAAGTTTTTTTGATAGGTTTACTTCGATACTGCAGAGGATATAGTGTGGTGCTCGTTTGAATGTTACTAAAAATATGAAATGTAATTATCATGTATTTTAAAAACTCAATAATTCATGAAGAAAAGACAAAGAAAATCACTGCCATGTCGATGGTTTTATGTGATAAAAAATCATGTTCATTCACATAAACGTTCACTTTCTCGGGTTAGACAACGTTTATTTTTAAAATTACTTCGCCAATGACTTATAAGATGGGTCGTTTTTAAAGTCATTTAAGTCACTTGTAGTCTAGATGGGTCGTGCTTTATCAGATATAAAACACTCGTGCTGCGCACTCGTGTTTCCTGATCCGATAAAGGATTCCTACGCGTGCTTTAAATAGTACATATTGTCTACGTTTTTGGCTTTTATACAAAATGAATAAATTGCTCAAAATATATAAAAGCAGAAAAACTAAAAGCGTGGAAAAGGTCTTTTTTAACAGGTGTGCAGAATTAGGAAATATGAAGTAAAAACGAGCTCAGTTGAACTATTAACTGATCTGCTTTTAGTAACCTCAAAGCCCAATTTCCCAACACAAAAATACAACATACATGGTTTGTGTGCTTCATTTTATTTAAACATTTCGATAAGCTGTAGTTAACAAGATATTTAACGTAATATCAATGAAATAAATCCGACCTACGATAGTACGTAACCTGGATACCACTAAGAAATGATCCGCATTTGCGTTTCAAGCGCATCAAAAACGCGTCCCGCACGCACTCCGACCGCGTGCCAAATGCGTTCTGGACACGTCAGGGGCGTAGTAAGCATCAAAAGATTCGGGGGGGGGGGCACCGGCTTCCAGGGGCACTTTGGGATATTGAAAAGGGCACCTAAAAGGGGGGGGATAAATTTTCCCGTCATACCATACCGAAATTGCATGTTTTTGACCAAATTTTTTTTAAAAACTTGGAAATTTCCAAACAAAAAGGGCACCTTTGAAGTTAATTTAGTATTTACAGCAACATTAGCTTGTACAAAAAGGGCACTTTTCATCACAAAAAAGGGCACTTTTAGTCCTTTGAAAAAATTGGGGGGAGGGCACATGCCCCCCCCGGTTCCTATGCCCCTGGGACGTGTTAACTTCTAAATGTGGAATATGTTCTGAAAGCTCATTAGAACGCAATCAAGAATATGTTCAGGTTCCCACAAAGTAAACTAAATATTCTAACTTTTCTGCAACCAAGATAGGTCAGGCAGAACAAAATAGTCAAATAAAGTAATAATAGGCACATAGCTAACACACACACAACTACATAATGAAAGCAACATTTTATTGGTCTTTTAGTTGACAAGACATAACTTCATAGTTTTAGGAATCAAATTTAGCCAACTTAGCAGCATTCAAGACTCCTTTTAATAGAGGTGATGTTATATCTGAAAAAGAAAAAAAATCAATCTTGGGTCCAAAACTTATAAAATATGATAATTAATGAAGGAATAACAAGGATTCTGTCCGTACTTACATGAGTCACAAGTGTAACACCAAACACTCAGGTCTGAAAAACTCAATGTAACTGCATGGCCAGTATCCTCACCATGCCTCACCATATGTGCGTTAACATAACGGCTGCAGTGAATCTCAGAACAAACGAGACAAAGCCAATTCTCACCAACATTTTGACATGTCAGACACGGTGCTCCTGGGTCTATGTTTAAACTTTCTGTTTGTTTCACAACCTGTGTTTTAGCAGAATAAGATTACCATGCAGTGACAAATATTGTGCAAAATAACCGGTGCACTGACATAGTAGAACCAGCCCACAATTTTAGCATTAACTTTGAATAGTAGAACTTTCAATGCAGATGTTTTGTAAGGATTGAATCAAAAAGTTCACCTGATTGCAATGACACTCAGGGGAAGTGCAGCTGCCAACCTTTGGCTTCAGAACAAGGCTGACAGCTGCCTTGGCCAGCAATTCTTATCCCCTGCATTTTAATAAGAAATGGACCATCACTATTTCATAATACACGCTTCCGGAAAGCATGTCACCTTGGCTATAGAGCCTAGTTTTTGTGATTGTCGCATTGGAGTTTAAAACGCCACATACACAGAAACAAGACTCTATGGCCAAGGTAATTACCCCTTCCATTTAGCAGCCTACACTTCCAGCTGATATTGCCCCACAGAAATACATGTCTCGTAAGCTAAGCTTCAATCACTTCTAAGATTTATTAGTTCTGCATAAAGCTTTATCCAGAAACTGCACAGGCTACCATGCCCGAGTAATACTGAATACACAAATCTTCACTATATCAACTAAACACTATTGAACACTGGATTACTATACTCTTCAATATATTTCATGTCAAATGTCAAACGATTTTAGTATACGCCTATTTCATAGTTTCACTTCGCAGATTGATATACACATGAAACAGAAAGTAACTAACACAACAATGGAGGGCTAAACAATGTTGAGATCCTACGAAAGGGCTTTGTATAAAGTTAATATTATTAAAATAATAATAATTTGATGTCTTATCCTAAAACTTGACGCATTTGATAATTTGTATATATATTAAAACTCATGTGTATTTAATACCTGAACGTGTGGACAATCCGTTTTCGGTGTGACTGGAAAGTAACCTTGAGAATTGCCGCTTGCAGTAGCCATTAATTCGTGTTGTGAAACAAAAGTAGTTTTTCGTGGAAACCACAGTTAGTGGAAACAAATTCTGTGGATCAATAGAAATTGAAATCGAAAATGAAATTGAACACTTTTGCAAAACATAACAACACAGCAAAACGTAAACATCACAATTTACTTCCGGTTTGTTTTTGCTGCGTCCAGACATTTACGAGATCAGCTACAATATTGTTGAGTACTTCATGTAATAGCATCTATACTGTATTTTCTTTTCCAAGATGGCCGCCAATTCATGATGATCTAATAATGAGTTTAAAATTAAATAATTAATAAAAGAACGCCCAATTCTTTTGCTAAATTTCTGCCTGAGAATGAGCAACAATTAAGGTATGTTTTTCCGTATTTTGGCATGGAAGAACTGCCGTCTACTGCTTTAAAATGGCCGTTTCCAAAGACTTTGAACAGCAGACTGTGGCGTCTGAGCAGTGCAATAATCATCGGAGGGACTGCTGCGTTCAGTAAGATATGGCTAGGTAAGTTTAAAATGAAATTTAATATCTGTTTACTTTGTGAAAAGAGCAAAGCAGAGAAAGTGCAGTCAATGAAATATAAAGTACAATAGTGCATGTGGCTATGGATGTTGACCAGCCTTTTCTGATGTTTTTAAGTCAATTTCAAAGTCCAACATATATTTATTAAAATGTCAGATCTAGCAGCAAAGTACTAGGAATTTCTCCCCCCCCCCTGAAAATCTGCACAACTCCCCCCAGATGAACCTAAATCTTGCCCCAATAAAAATATGTTATGCTACATTGTCTAGGTTGGCTTAATCAGAAACATGTATACAACCTTGATATCCTGGAGGAAACATTCTCTCGTGTCAAGGACACACCCTTGCTTACCGTGACCAATCATATATCTTGCTTTGACGAACCTTTGGTTTGGGGTAAGCATGAATATACATTTGCCTATAATTTATTACAACACACCTAAATATGATTTATTTAATTGAATGAACAGGAATGCTGAAATGGAGGCATGTCATGAATTCACAGCTAATAAGATGGTATGAAATTTTTCTGATAGATCATAGTAATGTAACTTCTTTGAGCAAGTCTGTTTTGTCTATAATTTATACTGTCTATCTCAAACAATCACAACAGGGCTATTGGTGCAGATGAAATGTGTTTTTACACCTGGTTGTTGAGTCAGTACTTCAGCAAGGGAAAGGTATGTTTATATGGATATAAAACATATTTTATTCACAATTGTTGAGTAGCTTATCAACATTGGGTTTTTTTCCAGGTAATTCCAGTCATAAGAGGTATAAAACTTGTTTCTTGTTGTCCCACACTTGTACATATTTTCATTTGGAATTTCCTCTCATCTTTGTCACTGGTATTTTCAAGGGAATGGTGTGTATCAGAAAGGAATGAATTTTGCGCTAGATCGTCTCAATGATGGTCAGTGGGTTCATATTTTTCCAGAAGGTGTGAATTGTTATAATTTTTCAGTTTCTTTGTTTTTCTGTACCCTGGGTGCAGCAGTTTTTTAGTGTCAGGCACATTTTAACTCTGACGGGTGGACAACACCGCCTGAGTGAGTGCAGGCTACAGCGAAACCCCTGATCCAGGGTCAGATGACTCTGTCACTTTGTGTGTGAATTGAAGTTCAGGCTTATATTTTTAGGGCATGTGAATGATACAGGGAATATTTGTCGTTTAAAATGGGGTAGGTTATTATTTAGTTAAATTTATTATATAATTTAAATTCATTTTTTTTTACAAAAATCTTGAATAGTCATTCCATCCTAACTTTAACCAGGTGTTGGTCGATTGATTGCAGAGTCATCTAAAGTGCCAATAGTCATTCCATTCTGGCAATTAGGTATGGTATCATCTGTGGCTTACCATAATAACTTCCTGTGGTTCATAGTCTGACTTTTATAAATAGGACTTGACGATGTTCTACCAAACAAGAGGCCGTACATACCAAGAATTGGGAAGGTATTGGTCATTTGAATTTTGTTGTAATTAATCTGAGCATTTCAACAAGCGTCAACGATTCTTTAATTACCTTATTTTAATTGCAGCATGTCACAATCAATATTGGCAAACCAATGTTTTTCAACGACATTATTACTGAATATCGGGAACTGAAGGAAACTGCAGTAAGTTGAATGTTAAATTTAATTTCTAAAAAGTATGGGGTTTGAACTTTCTTATCAACTTCTTATTCAGATTGGAGCGAGAAAGAGAATAACTGACAGAATACAAGAAAGATTTCAAGAATTAAAAGAAGAAACAGAAAAACTACACAGTATGCAAGATCTCACAAATTAATCAAATGATCCTTCTAATTTATTGATGATGTTGCAATCTACAAATGAAAAATGACCATCTCTCAATCAAACTGCAATTAAAGAAGCACCAGAAATAAAACGATCATATCCTTTTATTTATTAATAAGAACACACTTCCAAATCTATATGAATGATATGAACTCAGTGACATTTGCTTTGTCCAATTTGGAATGGTTTTTTTTTATACTTTTTAAAAAGATTTCAAATAGATAATCACTCTCCTAAGGAATAGCAGAACCTTATTTTACGTCACATCTAGTTTGCGACCATGCACACTCCTTTCTCCATGGCAGTCAACTTGTAGCAAGTCAAAGTTCATATAAACACATTCCTGCCCAGGCTTGTGGCAAGTTAAGGTTCATTTAAACACTAACTATAAAACAGTTATCAAACTATGTACATATGTAAGGCATCAAGCTTCATGACCTCTGTGAGTTAAATGTTCGCTGTCTGAATTATCTAAAAGAACCTCGACTTCTTCGGTGTTTGATGAGTTTACTCTCGAGAACTGTACCCGGCCAGTCTCGTTTGTTTCACGACTCTTCTTTGCTTTACGCATTAGAAAGTTGTCAACAACCCAAAACATAATTGCCTGAAAAAGAAAGGTTTTACATTTTTATGATGCCACAAAAGGCGTTGTTTAAAGGGAACTTGAGATTGATATGGATGTAACTACCTGAAAAATACAAAGAGAACTTTAACGTTTCGAACGAAGGGACAAAATAGAGGTGGTTGGTGGGGTCCAGTATGGGTAGAATTCTACAAGAAGCTGTTGTTTTTGTGCCTGAATTACGGAAGACGAACCTTCTGACAAAGGCTCTGAAAAGTGTTTTAAAAAATGTTTCCAGCTAGAAATATTTTTCACACCAAAACCCAACTGGCCAGTACATTAGAAAGGTTTATATTAGAAATTAAAGAAGGAATTCCAAACTTACATTTATTATAAAAGGGACAATCAGCATAACTAAAGCCACTTCCACTTTTGGATATTTCCGAACTGGTTTTAAAATAAACCGACGGACATCGTGCCAGAAGTCCAACATGACTAACAATGCTATCGCAATTTTCTCAAGGATCATTATTAGGATGTAGAGACCACATTGGCCAATCCATGCATCACATTGAGGTGGTTTTCCTAGAAATGACAAGTTTCATAGAAATGTTTTCTCAACTTTTCTTGGCCAAGGGCAGGTTTCAGTAAACAGGATTGTGCAGCAGACGGTGGTCGCGATCAACTAGTAACCAGTTGTCAACATTTCTGCAGTTGACCTCATCTGCTGTACTGTGACGTTTACTTGAAAACTACAATTTTAAAGTAAATCATTGCATCATATCTTACCATACTCTCCCAATATAAGAGTATCCCATTTGTAACAATGCACAATAAATTGAGAAATTTGAAGAAATATGTAGATTAAACACAAGCCGATGGTTGAATCTAAAAGGTAGTTGATAAAATACCTAGAAATGGAAATAAGTGCTTCAGTAAAATCTTGTTAAGGGGGGTTCAATACTGTTCTGATTTTATGAATGGTGACATACCATGTACAAGGATCGCCTTTGAATAATGTTGACAAGTAGACGTTTGCAAAATGTATAACAAGTGCGCCAATAGCTTGTTTTGAGGTGTCGTAGAACCTATGAACATATACAAAATACTATGTAGATACCCTCTGGTAGCTGGTTCGATTTGTGCGATATGCAGAACTTTATCTAATTAATTTTGCATGTGAGAACAATGCTTTCTGGTTTGTTGGAAGAATGCCACCAAACATTTGCCAAACCAAATATTTTCCTGCTTTCAAGCTGTAGTAACACTAGACCAGTAAGAATTGCTTTTACTGGACCTCAAGGGAGAACAGTTTAGGACTGGTAGAGCCATCCAACATGAATTTTAGATGTAACTTCTACATATTTTATTATTTACCAGATTTGAAGAGGTCTTCTTAGATTCTTAGGTTCTCTAAATCTTTTTACTGTGAAAAGGACAGAAAATTAATGAAACAACGATATATTATTGTTCATCGCCTATAGTTGGGGAACGAGTATACAAGTGCAAGGTAAATATTTATCTACTACAATAAAAAGTATTGCCAAAAAGAATTCCTATTTCCTTTTAAATTAATATTTAAAAGTTTATAAAAAACCTGATAAAAGACAGAGATATTAAATTGCTCCAATGTTTGATTACTTTGATAAAGGGAATCTAACTTTAATATGCTAAATGTCCGCCTAATATAAACCCATTGAAATACGTGTATTAATATATGAATATTTCAATGAAATTCAAGAAAATGTTATGATAAACATTACTATAACTTACAAATAAGCGTGCTAAAAGCGACCACAGCTAACAATCCTTGTATAAAAAATCCAAAAGTGTCCGTGAGGTCGCATTTCACAGCCACTGTGTCTTCTCTGGCTGCCATCGTTGTGTTAGCCAAAGTAGTTGATGTAGTCGATCTTGTCGCGTTTAAATAAAGCGTTGATACGCTTGAATTCATTATTAACATACAATAAGCATTTTTAGTTTATTGTACAGGCATTAAAACTAAAATTCAAAGCGTATTTTTGAAAGAAAAGCGTCTTCATTTATCATGAATCAACATGTAGATTGGCGACTTGTCAAAGAGAAGTGAAAAGCCACCCCTCCCTGGATTGTCATTTGACACTTATGTTATTATCGCTTTGTATTCGCCTTCGTTCCCGAAAATGGCGGTACCACCTGGTTCTCTTGACTTTTCCGATATTTCCCCGGTGCCTCTATCTTCCTCGCCGTCAAGAACGATCCTAACAGAAGCGTTTAACTCTCCAAAGTTAACTCGGAAATTTTTGGAGCAAATCTCGTCTGTGGACAAGAGTGGTTTACCTTTAAATACGGCCTGGACGCTTTGGCTTGATAGGTGTGAATCCGTGTGATTTGTATTTTATGTATTTTATGTTTAGATTTTGAGCTATATTATTTAGGTTTTTATTTGGTTTTTGTTCCTAGGTTTGTTCGAAATGCGACGGCAGCCGAATATGCAGCAAATTTGAGAAAAGTGTACACTGTTAAAACCATTCAGGTTTGTTTTGTTTATAATAAATACGGATTGTAATTATGTGGGGGAGAGGGGTGGTATGGTATGTTGTAACAATTAAGGTCATGTTACATGAGGTCATTTTTGCTGCAATTTGAGACACAAATATTTCAGACATAGTTAAAAATTAACCATGTTATCTAAAAAGTAGTCGCAGTGTGTGAGCACAGAATAGAAACCATACAGAAGGTGGACTTCTTGGTTTTTCCGTATGATTTTGGTGTAACTGTTGCAATGCGATATGAGAGCCATCCCCCCCTGAAATGAATCAAAATGGCAGATGTTCAAGGGGGTGAATGCCTCTCATAACTGCACTGGCTAGGAACATGGCAACAACATTTTGATGATGAATCATTGTGTGGCAGTAGAGTCGACCGTTTGTCTTTATTCTGTGGTGTGAGCATGCCAGCATGCCTACCTTATAATATTACACTCTATTTACCATAGAGTTTCTGGAGTGTATTTAACAACATCCCAGCAGCGTCAAAACTCGGATTTCGGACCAGTTATCACATGATGAGAGGAGAGAGAAGGCCTGTATGGGAGGACGATGAAAATATCTGCGGCGGTTATTGGAAAATGAGATGTCCAAAAGGCTACACGGTGAGGGACAAGTTGATTGAGTGACACTGACAGCCAGTATTGACAAACCAAATATTTTCCACTTGTCTAACAACTTTGTCATTATTTCTTCATCAGGACCAAGCGTGGAAAGAGCTTCTTTTGGCCATCATCGGGGAACAAAGTTTAAATGATGTACTAGCAGACGGTTGGTATTACATCATTTATGGTCTAAACAGGCTTTTGAAGGGAAGTTTACAACCCCATTTTGCCAGCCAATTTTTTTTTTGATACTAGTAAATTCCACTCCCAGAAGCAAATTGCTTCCTCCCATTCCCAAGCAGTGGTTCAAATTCTGAAAAATTGAGCAAATTGTGGCTCCTATTCACCTCTAATCTTCACAACCCACTCTGATAAAGTACGGTGCATTAGGATGTGTTTTCCACCTGACTGACCTTGCCTCTCATTGAACTGTATTCTACTCCTTCTGTAGGTGATGAAATAGTTGGTCTCAGTGTCAGTATTCGTGATAGAGATGACATTCTACAAATCTGGAATGCAAAAGCTAATTTAGCTAGCGAATCTAAGGTTTGTATTTAAAAAGGTTGTTTATGAGTATGCATGTGACACAGTATTCAAAGACTTGAATATAAATTTTCATATCTGTAGGTTTTAAAAAAGATTTCTGAAATTCTGCCTCAACTCAATATTGAAGATGCTTTTTATAAATGTGAGTATTTACAAACGATTTAAAATGAGTCTTAAATTAATGACATTTACAAATTATGAAAACATTGTATCAACAACATTTTCTATGTTTTAGTTCACAGAGATCACCATGCGTTTGAAGGTCAAAGAGTCATCTCCAGACCTCTTGGATTTCCAACAAGTGGTCCGCTAAAGTAGGAATAAATCAAATTATTAAAATTGTATCTATAAGTTTTCTTCCTCTATTAGTGTAAACTTCCTTCTTGCCGTCAAATTTTGAGTTCTGAAAAGTTCAGCAAAATAGTGGAGAACTGTTGTACACTTGCACCACTGGACAATTAAGGCGAATTGGCAGCTACGTCTCTGGAGCTGGTTGTATAAAACTCTTTATGCATAGTCTGTCAAGATATGTTGGTCTGGAAACTAAACACAAGTCATTGTATTATGTTTTTGTCTGAGTTTATGTTAATTTGTGCATGGTCACGGTGATTGAGCTCATTGTATTTTCGTATAATGAAGTAACTGTCCAATAAGGATAGCTGAGATGAAACGTGCAACCAGAATGAATAATATTTAATGAAGTTGAGACAAAGGATTTGTGTACGGTGAGGTACAGTTCAACATCAAACAAAGCTCTTCTTTTTTGTGGCTTTGAAGTTTGCCTTCCAGACCATCATATCTTCAAGTTGACAGACCATATGCTTTATCGTAGTGAAATGGAAGTCTAACTATGGTGCCTCTTTATACAACTGGCCCCTGACAGATGTCTTGTGAAACTGGAAATTAATTTGTTGGACTGTACAAGTGATGATGTTATTTAGTTTTATTTTACAACCTGCATTTTCAGTTCAACTCTGTCAATAAGCTCAGGTATCAGACTCAAAAAATTTCCATCAAAAGCTGCTTAATTTAATTAATAGGTTTCAACGCGAGTATAGTAGCCAAAGTGTAGTATTTAAAACATATTTCTAAGTTTTAAGTTATGACAATTTTTATGCTTGTAGGCAACTCTATATAAATTTGTGAATAAAGTTTATATAAATTTATTATATCATAATTTATAAGTGATAGTTTATAATATTCTGTCATTGTTGCATACATTATAGGATTGTAGCAATTAGTTAAACGTTAATTGTTACAATATTTACTCAACGTTTTTCATAATTATCTCCACCCCTCATGTATTTAATCTCACGATGTGAAGGCACTTTTTGTTTCGGTATCTCCATGTTAGATTTCCAGGAAATTTTATGTTTGCTTGTGTCTTTTGGAAATGGTTTCACTGGAATATTCCCACTCTTGCTGTAGAATGTCATCACTGCGCCATTTTTGGCGTAGCTTTTCCCTCTGTATGGATTATACGGCACGTAATTATCACGGGAGTAACGGCTTTGGACCCAGTCGTATTGTTTGGATCTAGAAGGTTAAGAAATGTTTGTTAAGAGACTGGATGAAAATCAACCTCGTACCCACATGATATTTTCTCTCGCACTAAAAACTATCCAGACGAACTATAGTTAGTCATCTGTACTGGCAATGGAATGGATCCGGGATAAATCATGCCTGATATTTATTTCATGGTGCGTCTAACGCGCGTATTTCTACACAAGACGGATGTCAAGGCGATGCACATACTGTAAGATCGTTTGTGTAGATGAAGTGCTCCTAACTCAACAATGCGTTCTGTATGACATCAGATCATTCTAGGGTAGCCCACATTCAAGAACATGTACTACCTTTGCATGATCTCACCATGCTTAACTCAGTGGGAAGCTCCGCACAACGTCAAATTCCTTCAAGATAGCCTGGCATATTCAAGAACATGTACTACTTCTGTACCTCTGCATGATCTGACGATGCTTATCACAGCAGTGAGTTCTATACAACATCAGATTCCTTCAAGCTCACATCGAAGAACATTTCCTAAGTCTTACCTGTACATAGAAGACGAAGTCTTAGGTCGTGGTGGCAAGTTTACTCTCTCTCGTCCACGACCGATATTTGGCAAAGCGGACACAGCTCTTCTTTCCGAAGGTGTTCTTGCTTCTTCCCGGAAACCTTTTGGTGTTCTTGGATTCGACTGAGCTGTGTTAGATCTGTCTTCAAATCCCACGCTCTTTGAACGTGTTATCCTACCGTCTTGACTGCTATTCCGTGACGCTGGGTTAGTCAAATTTGAATTGCTTCTGCTCTGTGGCCCTTTAGATACCATTGAGCTAGGTTGTCTGTTATTGATACCTGGACTGTTGCCTTTTAGACGATTTGCAGGGCTTGATCGGCTTCTGGCCGATGTTATTGAACCAGTTTTTGGTCTTTCCTGGATGTTATCTAAACGACTTGCGAGTGATGTGCCTGAACGACTGGTGGTAGTCGACATTAACCGACTGTCCGGGGAAGCTATGGAACAATCTTCAGAAAATCGTACCGAGTAACTTTTGGAGGATCCAATTGAGCGAGTTGTGTCTAGGAATTCGCGCTCGTCACCGCTGTAGTCCCAAGCCCTTTCCAATATCTTCCTGCGCGGTTCTGCTTGGTTTTCCTCCTCGATCTGTTTTGCCATCATGATGTTGAAATTTTCCAGCGTTAAATCTTTTGTAGTGAAAACAGCCTTTTCTTTCTCACTGTATAAGAAGCCATACACCTCGCTGTCACAATGATCGCAGTGTTTTATGGGACAGTCTGATTTCGTGATGACTGAGAAAGTATGTATAAGGTATTTGGAGAATGTTTCTGCATTGTCAGCAAATACTCGTCCTTGCCAAGCCACGTAGCCTAAAAAAAGAGATACTTTTGAATGAATGGGTCTCTCAGACACTTAAATGAGCAAGTAAACTAAAATAATAAGTTCTTTGTAGGTTTGCATGGCGATAAAACATATGCTATTGTTTGTGGAAACACCACGTAAATTTATTACTGCAGACTAAAATCTATCGATTCCCATAGGTAAAACTACTGCATAATATAATGAAAGAATTGACATTATTTTTTCATTCTGCTAACTGCTGGTTGTCCACGATCTTCTACTACAGATAGTGATTAATAATGAAAATTCTTTTCACTATATGTGGTGAATTGAGAGAGATAATTTAATTTTTTTGCTTCAATGCATGTGATCATCATTTCTGAAGTTCATCTACATACCTTCGCTGTCAATGAGAACCAAGGTTGGTACACCCAGCAAACGGTAAGACTTGGCGAATGACGAGTTCTCTACGTCACGTTTACGTAGTTTGGAATTGGGACCAGGATGACATGCGCAGAAGTGTTTGATTCCCTCGTTATTGGTCCAGTTATGGTCGGTCATCACTTCCATAACTTTACTCTGATGATGTGTGACTGGTTCTTCACTGAATACACAGCAGCTCAACAGTTGATACTGAAAAGATAAAACATTGATTGTATTGGTGATGATAATGGTAATGGTGATGGTAATGGCAATGATAATGGTGATGATAATGGTAATGATAATGGTGATGGTGATGTTGATGATAATGGTGATGATAATGGTAATGGTGATGGTAATGGTATAATAATATAATACTTCATTGAGTGTCAAGATAAAAAAGACCACAGTGTTTCACATCATACCTCTGTACCGTGTTCTTTAGCAAATGAGGAATAATATTCCATCACTCTTTTGGAAGAAGCACACCTAAAATTTTCACAGATATAAAATAAACATAATCTGGATATACCAACAAGATATTTGCTCTCCCTTTGTCTCATAATTTCTTCCAATTCAAACATATTGAAATCATCAAACCTATTACAGTTACAAAGTGGACTACTATTTATAAACAATGGTAGAGCGATACCATCTCTAAGCAACAAAGAGAAGTTAATAGTAATACACCCTACCGGAAGTACGTCATTTCGGATATAGAGCCTCGTTTTCATGTATGTGAGATCAGTTAAAGCCCCAACATTACGAGAACGAGGCTCCGTAGCCAAAGTGACGTACTTTCCGGAAGCGTATGTTATACTTGTTGACAAAAAGCCTGAAACCTGCAAGTGTTGTTAATCTTACCATTTTGTCCAAAACAACAAAGCAGTTGGTTTAGTCTTTTCAAAATGTTTCCCAAGTGGTTCCCAGACGCCATCAAAAACTCCCATGACATGAAATGATTGTGCGTGGATGCGTTCACTGATGAAGGAACGTTGGGGATAAGGTTTGTCACTGTATTGACGTTCATACTCCAGAGCGTCTTCCAGGCAACATCCGCCATTATCGGGCCAGCTGGGAAATAGAAATTTCACGCAAATGTAACTGACTGTAATTTGACAGAGTTAAGCCTAGTTAGATCATGTTGAGAAGTACACTTTCTTTAATGTAGACTGGCCTGAAATTACCTGATGTTGTACAGAACTCACTGGTTAGATCATACAGAAGTAGTACATATTCTTGAATGTGGGAAATCCTAAAGTGATCTGATGTTGTACAGAACTCGCTGCTTAGTTAAGCATGGTTAGACCATACGGAAGTAGTACATGTTCTTGAATGTGGGCAATCCTAAAGTGATCTGATGTTGTACAGAACTCACTGCTTAATTGTGCATGGTTATAGATCATCCAGAAGTAGCACTCGAAATGAACTTACCTGCCGTGTTTATTATGACTGCTGAAGTAACAGAAAAATCTGACTGGTCGAAATTCCATGGAAGAGACTTGGACAGTTTCTGACGGTTTGCTGTGACCAACAGCATGACTGGACAGTGTTACTACGGATATATTATACAGCGGTTCATCCACACCAAGCTAGGGACAATAAAAAGGTGCATAAAATATGGTATTCGATCTGACGTTAAACAGAGTAAAAGAACGAGAGATGCTTTCTAGCTACATTTGATTCGTCGTGGGAATTTTCTACTCACAAACAAAGTTGGTATAATATGATTCTCAAGGAGCTCAAAAGTTAGAGTCAGGCTCATAGATATCTATGGTCAGGCTGTACACTATACCTGATAACTTTCCGTAGTGAAGCGAAAAAGCACCTATCCGATACGGAATGTACAACTTTCAGACGCTGAGTGAAACAACATCTTTCCGTTGCAATAATTTCTCTGAAAATAGCGTTCGTAAAAGGTACGGATACTCGGATAAGTGTGGAGAGCTATTCGGTACAGTCGTACAGTGAAAACATAACCTGAGGCTGTTATGGTTCAGAACAAAATCCTGGGGAAGCAAGAATCAATTTGTATTGCTTGGTCAAAGTGGAACTAGAATTTCTGCGGTTGTTGATTCTCATTCTTTCGGTATGCGCGTGGATAACTTTCGAAGGCGCCTGAAACATAGTTCTTGTCCATACCTTCATGCAGTATTTTTTTGTATCCAAGGGTAAATTTGCATAAATTTCGTTGTTCACCAACACCCGGTACCCAACAGGCTCCGAGAAAACGTCAAAACATGGCGGAGTTATTTTCAGAACAAGTGATAGTGTCCCTGAGAGAGAAAAACGAAAATGAATTTTTCCTCCTGTAGTAACACTCGATCAGGGAGAACAGTTTAGAACTGATATAGAGCTATCCAGAATAAATCAAGTTAGTTTAGTTTAGGTGATGATTCTTACTGGGCCTCCAGGGAGAATAGTTTAGATGAAGCTATCCAGAATAAATAAAGTTTATTTACCTGTGTACTCATTGATCGTATTCAAGATCTCCCTCAGTCTTTTCTCTACGCGATGAAGTAGCACGCGCTTGCGCTGAATCTAAAAATAATCAGAAAATTTTTAAACATTTTCTATACTTTTCTTACCCAGAGTTTGCAGATATTTGCTGGCCATATAATAATCTACCAACCTCTTCGTCTCGAACTTTTTCTCCTTTTGCCAAAACGCTGTTGTTCAATGCGGTGATGTTGCTTTTCAATCTGAAGAAAAAACGCACAGAAAAACTCATTCTCGTACCCAGAGCCCTTACGCACGGTAGAAGGGCTCTGGGTACGAGAATATAAATTCCCAACCTCGTTCCCAGGCCATTTCGAGAAAACATGGCGGCAAATTTAAATCACTGATTTAAATAAGTTTCTTTTTTGCCGTCAAACTTTGTTAAATACAGGCGTATTTTTGCTTTTATTTTGTAACGTAAAGGTTTTAACAATGTACAGATATAAAACTTTACTTTGGCTGCAGTTTAACGTGTTTTTTAAAGAGAATATAAAATTTATATTGAATGCATTTCATTTTAAAAGGTGAGTTCATTTTATAGTTTACCCTCATTTTTCAACCAACAGTTTGTATCAGAATAGGAAAATAATGATAATTCTTTCTATTGTTTGTTTGATTTTCTTGTTCCATTAACATTTCTGAATAGCTTGGCTTTACCTGTCTCTTTTATCAATAAGATAATCAATTTCTTTCCCAAACGTCTGTCTCTCCTTCAAGCCATAAATATCAACACTAATTTCAGGTGCTGGTGGTTTCTTCATCGTATGTAACTGGATGGAGGGAGTCATGATGTTAGGACAACCATCTGGCACAACCTCTGCTTCAAGGAAAGCCCAGTAGTATTTGTCTGGCTCAACTTTCAGCGAGTCTTCAACAGACCCAGGAGACAGAGTGTGTAAGATGCTTGTTTCATCTTTTGTGATCTCTTCCTTCGTTGGACGATGGTTTTCATCATCCATTTTGAGGTAATAAAGCTGAAATGAAAGAATTTATATAGTTTTATTAATATTTGTATTGACAGAAGAAATTGGTTCACTTAAAATGAATAGTTTGGTATACATGGCTATTGATTTTACATGATTTATGCCAAAAACTTCTGCATCCTGTATTCTCAACAAGCAATGCAAATTTGCATATCAAACTTTCAACCTCAATAATGGAATTAGGGTCTACCCTATCCCTGAAAGATTACCCCACCTCCTGAAACATTACCCCACCTCCTGAAACATTACCCCACCTCCTGAAAGATTACCCCACCTCCTGAATTAGCTCTTCCACAGTTGCACTCAGTCTACTGACTTTGTCAAGTATGTCAAATGTTCCACCGCAACCACATTGAGACAAATCTAGGGGTCAATCTCCACCCTCCCTCCCCTTAGAAATTTGCATCCCATAGGAATGCCCAGCCTAATCCCACCTTCCTGGAGGGAACTAAATTCACCCCCTCCCCCCTGGAGATGTGATTGAAGTGAGTTACCTCCCCTCTTTGCAATACATATTGAGCACCCCCTGCCTCATGGATGTCCCCCCCCCCCACTAACCTTGTATTCTCTAACTCTTGCCCCTCCCTGACATATAGGTCTGTTCCATGCGACCTTGACCTTGTTAACACTATGACAATGAGCACGCTCCAACGTGATTGGCAGGGCCCCAGGACATGTGACATCAAGAATATGAGAGAAGTCACTGTTGCAGTCTGGCAGTGTGGAAATTGCCTAAAGGTTAGAAATAACTTGATTATTTGTCATTGAGACCTCTCTCATAATATCTATGATTGAGGACCTCTCTGAAAACCATGTCAAGTGTGAGACCTTCCTGATTAAATATTATTATCATTACCATAACACATTTTTAATCAGACTTTCTATATTAGAAGTTAGCAATAATTAAACCATCTTACAAAATTTTGGATGAAAGTCCAGACCAAAATATTTCAAAATTTATCAAACAAGCATATTTGTTTGAGTGTGTACACAGGCTGCTATTTATGTGCTGTATGTAATATTCACTATATGCCAATGCATTCTCTATAGCCTAGACCTTATGATTATCGTTTCCGCAAACAGCAAACTTCAAATCCTCGTTTGAAGTCAACTGTTAGCTGTTCAAAGTTAGAGCAACTTGTGCACTAAAAGTGAAGAATGAATTAGCTACTTTTAGCTGTTGAAACTGTAGGCCTTACTTTCAAAATTGATTTGAAGTTTGCCGTTAGCGCTTTACCGTAAACGTCAATCTTAAAGTCCCTATTGTTTTCCTCTGTCCAACGGCAGACAGGGAGACGCTTGCGCTGTTTTAAATTTGATTTACCTTTAACCTAAATGTGTATGTTCTGAGGGGTCTGCAGTCCGTGTACGTCACTTCATTTTGTGTTGAGATGATTTTTGCGTAATCTTTCCCATTCACCTGCAATAACGTAATATTTTATGATACAATGTTGCAAGGTCTGTACCAGCGTAAGTTTTGTGCCAATAATAAGAAAGTTGAGCATTGACGGGGAGCGTAATATGTTGTGACGTAGTTTTGAATGAGATTATACTTATTGCAGTAATAAAAAAATACCTGTAGTTCATATTCTTTGATATTTCCATCGCCAAACACATGCGGTCTACTCCACCCAAATGTTATAGCGCCTGGTTCATTATGCCTGAGAAAATAACAGTTTATAAGTTCATGATTACAATGCACCAGCTAATCAATACTAACGCCTCTATTCTAAAAGCTCACTCACACTCAAAGAGTCATGGAGGTTCAATCTGAACTTCCCTTGAGTGTCATTGCTGTTTTTGAATAGTTGGATGGTTAGTGTCGTACCTTACTATGTGACTACTCCAACTATTCAAAAACAGCATTCATTTGACACTCAAGGGAAGCTCAGATTGAATCTCCACTCGTTGAGTGTGAGTGAGCTTTTAGAACACAGGCGTAAATACTAGTCAGTAGGAAATTTTGCAAAATATAAAAATTATGTTCATTCAGAATCGGCTTTATATTCCTATTTCCTACTGACTAGTATTTACGCCTGTGTTCTAAAAGCTCACTCACACTCAATGAGTGGAGATTGAAAAAGATATTATTCACATTATTTTGAAAAGTTGATATTTTACCCGTAGGAAACACTTTTTCCAACTCTGTTCCAGAAAACATATCATACTGATCAACATGCAAACTTACGAAAGACTTCACTTACAGTAGTTTTAAGACGGGTCTTTGAACAGGCGCTGAAGTTTCCACAACGAGCGGCTTTGCTCTGCTGATTGCTCTGCCATTGATATCAATTGATGTAAGAGTTAGACAATATTTAATCCCTGCTGTGCAGTCATTGATTGTGAACACTCTCTCGCTTGGCCGGAGTTCAATATGCCGGTACTAGGAAAGCACAAGGAAACATTGTAAGAGAGGTACTAATACGAGTATTTGAAGGGGCCCAATATAGGGACGTTGTTCAATATGCCGGTACTAGGAAAGCACAAGGAAACATTGTAATAGAGGTACTAATACGAGTATTTGAAGGGGCCCAATATAGGGACGCTGTTCAATATGCCGGTACTAGGAAAGCACAAGGAAACATTGTAAGAGAGGTACCAATACGAGTATTTGAAGGGGCCCAATATAGGAACGTTGTTCAATATTCCGGTACTAGGAAAGCACAAGGAAACATTGTAAGAGAGGTACTAATACGAGTATTTGAAGGGGCCCAATATAGGAACGTTGTTCAATATTCCGGTACTAGGAAAGCACAAGGAAACATTGTAATAGAGGTACTAATACGAGTATTTGAAGGGGCCCAATATAGGAACGTTGTTCAATATTCCGGTACTAGGAAAGCACAAGGAAACATTGTAAGAGAGGTACCAATACGAGTATTTGAAGGGGCCCAATATAGGAACGTTGTTCAATATTCCGGTACTAGGAAAGCACAAGGAAACATTGTAAGAGAGGTACTAATACGAGTATTTGAAGGGGCCCAATATAGGAACGTTGTTCAATATTCCGGTACTAGGAAAGCACAAGGAAACATTGTAAGAGAGGTACCAATACGAGTATTTGAAGGGGCCCAATATAGGAACGTTGTTCAATATGCCGGTACTAGGAAAGCACAAGGAAACATTGTAAGAGAGGTATACCAATACGAGTATTTTGTTAAGGGGCCCAATATAGGGACGTTGTTCAATATGCCGGTACTAGGAAAGCACAAGGAAACATTGTAAGAGAGGTACCAATACGAGTATTTGAAGGGGCCCAATATAGGGACGCTGTTCAATATGCCGGTACTAGGAAAGCACAAGGAAACATTGTAATAGAGATACCAATACGAGTATTTGAAGGGGCCCAATATAGGGACGCTGTTCAATATGCCGGTACTAGGAAAGCACAGGGAAACATTGTAAGAGAGGTATACTAATACGAGTATTTAAAGGGGCCCAATATAGGGACGCTGTTCAATTTGCACCCCTTTAATCACCCTAATGGATTTAGCCCCGTATCCCATTGTGCTAATATTCTTTGGAAGGAACACCTGCTACTGAATTTACTCATGAGAAAACACAGTATATTTCAAACACTGCTTTTAGATAACGTAAAACGTAATTTAAAAAGTCAAGTAATTTGACCGCTTACACCCCTCCCTCACAAGGGTAGGAAATATTTTAAGAAAGTTGAAATATTCGTAATTATACTGAGTTCTACCTCTGGCTCACTTGAACTGTTGTATTCTAGCAAAAAGTGATCGACTGGCATCCAACCTGAACAAACAGAAATAAATTAAATTTCAAATGACGCGAGCCATCAGATCACGACACTTTAATTTGGTTTATAACAGGGCTTGTAAATTGAACAAGTCACATCATAGTTATAAGCACTGATGAAGATCCGGGCTTACGGATCGAAAGCTTTGCAGTGATAAATTTACGTGGTGTTTCCACAAACAAAAAGTATTATATGTTTTATCGCCATGCAGTCCTACAAAGAACTTGGATAGAAATAAGTATATCAGACTATAGCCACGAAAGAGCAAACTATTTTCTTTGAGGGTCCTGGATTTGCCCGCAGGCTAGGAGAGAGTGGCGTTTAACCTTGTGTCAAGCGGGTAATATTATGCGAGAGGAGGGTAATATTTATGCTAGAGGAGGGTAATATTTATGCGAGAGGAGGGTAATATTTATGCTAGAGGAGGGTAATATTTATGTGATGAGAGTATACTCACTGTCATCTCTTATGTAAGTCCAGTGTACTGTGATAGAGTGTTGTGTTCGTTTATGCAGCCTTGGAAATAACCCAGGTTCTTCATTTTCATCTTCTACCACCATATTGCACGCTACTACTGTTTCAAAAAAGATTAAAGGAAATTCGCTAGATTATTATTTACTTTACAATTAAACTTCATTGAGTAATATGTTTACATTTAATCAAACACTCTTTTGGAAATTTTTGCAATATTCAGGCCTTGAAATTGTGTATTTCATCTTGAAGCAGTTGATGTATAATTATATCAACTTTCTTTTCTTTCAATTGTATAACACAGTTTTTAAAATGCGAATATAATGCGCAATAAAAAATCTATTACTGTTTAAAATAAAAAACAAAAAAGCATAAAAGCTTGTTAATAAGTTTGTCACAACTTTACTTACTTTTTATTGCTGATAAGTTAACCACAAAATTTCCAAAATCCTTGAGTTCAATAGTTAATACATGTATATATACTTCAAAAGTAAGAGTAAGATATACTCAAAAGCCGTTGTTGCTATAAATTTGGTCGTCACAGGAACGTGACTGTGTTTTCAATTTTGCAGACAGTTAAGTATAGACAAACCACCTGTTTTTTGTTGCTAGGAGCGGGACCACATGCCTCGCCATGATTGGTTGAAATACTTAAACACGAATTTGCTCAGAAATACGTGATTCTGAGTGGCTACAAGTTTCTCACTAACGTATTTCAAACTGCTTTTTTACGCACCTCCCCCCGCAGGTTCTCATCGTGGGCTGCGGTTTTGTGACGCAAATGCATGCTAGAAAAACTAATTAATATTAAGTTCTTTGTATGTTTGCATGGCGATAAAATATTATAGTTTTGTTTGTGGTGTTTCCACAAACAAAACTATTATAATTAATATTAACAAAATTTCATTTAGAAACAAAATTAAAATAACATTTTTAGAAACAAGATTCAAATTTCATTTTATTAAAGTTTTTAACTTTAATGAATAGATACAGACTGTACATGCAGTACATAGTTTTTGATGTGCTTGATATATTAATAGTATAGTGGTGCTTTATACTTTACCATTTGTCCATATAAAGTTAATAATTGTCTTGTACTAATTATCAGAAGCCGGTTGTATAAACCTCTTAATCACTTTTCTAATCACTATTTTGTAGTTAAATAGTGATTAACTCTCAAATAAGCGCTTCTATTGGATGATGTTTCCACTAACTATAGTTAACTTTTACCATTGAGCTGCAATGCGCCCCAGTGCGCCCTACTTATTTTTTTTACTTGTCTAATGCCAGACGATTTTGCTCGTCATTGGGGAAGCTCTGCATCTTAATGGGTTCAGAATCACTCTTTTATACAACCGGACCAGTACCTTAATAAACTAGTGGGAAAATTTTCCCCAAAATATTTCCCTTCTGTAAATATGTATGAAAAAGTGCGCTGTGCAAACATTGAGTGCTGTATATACAATTTAAATACTTTTATTAATAGCGACGTTAAGCCAGGTTTATACTATCAAAGTTTCTGTGATCACAGTAGGAATTTTACATCGGTAAATTCTAAGTTTGAAGGATTTGTAAGAAATGTTTGAGGAAAATGACTGTGTTCAACAGTGATTACATTTCTTACATATCCTTCAAAACTTAGAATTTACCCATGCAAAATTCCTACAGTGATCACAGAAACTTTGACAGTGTAGACCAGGCTTTAGACACGTTAAAAGTGCTATATACAATATAGATAGTTCAATAACATTATTCACACATATGCTTGACGGTTATAGTTATAATAATCTCCTCCATTCTTCTTTCCACTCTGAGTTGTACTGTTCATCTGCGCTCTCCTTCCTTTCTTGTGATGAGCTGAAATCACATATCTTTGCTTTGGGTGTCCTGGTTGATAAATGCCTTTACTATACCGACTCTGGATGTGACTGTATTTGTCCTTCTTGGCGGACTTTCGAGCAGGATCATTAATAGGCTCCAGGGTTGAAGGTCTGCGGTATATATAAGGCTCTGGCTTGGTGGTGGTCTTTCCTGCTGGTTTTTCACCAAAACTGTATTTTTTTCTCATATTATCTGGGACCATGAACTCGTATATCTCTTCCTCTTGGTGATTCTGTTGCGTTGAACTGAGAGTGGTGCTTCGACTCGTATCTCTGTTGACATTATTCGCTCTGATCTGGGAGTTCCATTTCCCTGTCCCACTTGTGTTATATCCCAATGCAGTCGAGCGGTTCCGAGCAGTGCCCGAGTCTACAGCGTCAGCTTCTACATCTCCGTCACCACCATCTCTCTCTGAGAGATGATAATTAACACTTGTATATTTATAGCTATTCTTTCGGCCATTCTCCGGATTATAGTCGGAAACGTTCGGCACCGACGATTGCGCGACAGGAGGTTTGTCCCGCCATGTTGATCCCCCGGAGGCGCCATAGCCGTGTTTTGATTTCTCGTAGCCGTTATGTGGGCTGCGGTAGTCGCGATGTGGTTGACGGTATTGATAGTTCTTGATGCCTGGCCTTATCTCGCTTGCTGATTGGCTGCTTGCAGTCTGTGGGGGGTCTGGATCCACTTCTCCAAAACGTACTCTGTGTCTTTCTGGTTGTTTTTCAGCCTCTGCCTCAGCCTTCTTAGCATTCGCGCGACGTCTTTCCAACCATTCCTTACGAGGTGAAAGACTGCCGACCTTTGAATATTGTTCGTCTTGGGTTCTCTCTGCTTCTTCCAGTGCCTTCCCATGAAGCCTTGAGTGCAACAGGTGGAACTCATCCAACGAGAACTTGTCATGTGACTTGTTGCTGACGTAATTGTTGCTGACGTAGCTGTTGCTGGCATCGTCTCCTTGATTGTTGCAGATGTCATCCCCTTGATTGATGACATAATTTCCGGTGACGTCATAACCTTGACTAGTGACGTCACCTTGGTCTTCATCATGCTTCTGCTTTGGTTCATATAGCGTTCCGTTTTCGTCCTTGCAATGTTCACATTCCATACTTGGACATTCTTGTTCTTCCACTTGGGCCATCACGTGACTCATGTAGCTGAAAAATGTTTCATCTGTGTCAGCGGCAACACGACCTTGCCATGAGAGACGACCTGAAAAATAATGATAAAAGCTTAGAACTGTCCGGCAGATGTCTCTCTCAGATAGCTGTGTTTCGTGTAGAGATGTAGGCCTAACTCCTAAGGTCCAGACACACCGGACGCGATTCGACAACGCGACGCGGTTTTTTAGTTTTTGAAAGCTAATAAAACAGCCAATGAGAGCAAATGTTGAAAGATATGTAGACCAAATAACTCAAAATGTTATAGCGCTTCTAAATATTTGGAAAATTCAAACTGGGACCAAAGTTATCGGTCAGTGAAAATCGAAAAATCGCGTCGCGTTGTCGAATCGCGTCCGGTGTGTCTGGACCTTTACAAAGATATCATTGCTTCTCTTCTCCGGCTGTTACACTTTTTCTCCCTCAAGAAAAAGTAATTCCATTGACGTATATTATCCAGCTGTGAGGCGCCCTGACAAGCTTTTAACGTTTGACTTGACGCCCTTCACTTATCAGCTGCAAGCAAAGAGGATCGCTGACGTACTTTAAGTTGTTCGTTGTAATACCGTCTACTTTACAGTGTTCGCCAAGTCAAAAGTACCCTAAGCACTAAGCACTAAGTTCCGCTCACCTTTGATGTCTAAAATGCAAAATGTGGGAACGCCGGCAAGATCAAAGGATGACGGGATACTGGCATTCTCCATTTTCTCGATCGTGTTGTTTGGGAGGTCTGGTGCGAGATGACATCCACAGCAATGACGTATATTACCCAGAATTCGCAAGTTCTTTTCATTGAGTAATTCAATGATTGATTTGCGATGTGTGTGAATATCCTCCCCGCTTTTAACACAGCATGCCAAGTATTGGTACTAGGATAGAAAGAAGAGGAATTTGTTAGATTTTGGTTGCCTTGTGACTGTGAAGTAGAAAGGTTTCACTAATCACAGGTTAGATTCCTGCTAGAGGGCATTTCGCAATGCTCCTAGTTAGGTGTAATAAATGTGCGAAACCATTCTCCAAGGTTTCACTCAGTACAATAAAGCCATTCCGAAGTTGATGAGTGGACTGGGGACAAGTGTTAAAAAGTGCCCAAATTAAGAAATGAACCAAATCACTAAAAAGACCACCTCAAAATTGGTAAGTATACAAAGTTTGAAGACGTTTACATGAATATCCTTCGAATAATAAGCTTTCGAAAATCCGATATTTACTATGAAATGTATTGTAATTTTTGTTTTTGGGACGCGCGTTCCAAAAACAATCTTTTAATTAATCAGTAATTTCATAATTTTCGAAAGCTTATTATTCGAAGGGTATTCATGTAAACGTCTTCAAACTTTGTATACTTACTAATTTTGAGGTGCTCTTTTTAGTGATTTGGTTCATTTCTCAATTTGGGCACTTTTTAACACTTGTCCCCAGTCCTCTCATCAACTTCGGAATGGCTAATTGTGCAGCAGATGGTGATGAACCTGCAGTTATCAGAGTGTTGGAGGGGACCAGGGGCGTAAGTTTAGGCCAGCCTGCCCCTGGTCCTAACGGAATTGGGTGCCCCAAGGCAAGGGTATCCTACATCCTTTTGAAGTACTACGAAGCTCTTACAATATGAACATTTTGCTGGCCGGTTAGAAGCGAATTTTAATGGTATCTTGAACTGGAAATATAAATATATAGCAAAATATACAACAACAAAAACCCACAACTATGCAGAAATAACGCCATGCAGAAATTGTTTTTGACATAAACAGTGAAATGTTTGCCACTGTACTTATGCACGTACAACCTTAGATGAACAAGGCCCCCGGACAACTCAGTTCAGGGTGCCCCCCTGGAAGCCTGTTTGCCTGGGTGCCCCCGGCTCTTACCGGGTAGAGCTCATAGGAGTTACGCCACTGGAGGGAACTGACTCGGGATTTAAAAGTTTAACAGTTTCCTCAAACATTTCTTACAAATCATTCAAAACTTAGAATTTACTTTTGCAAAATTCCTACTGTGATCACAGAAACTTTGATAGTGTAAACCAGACTTAATGTTAATTCTTTCCGAGGTGTGGCGATTGACCACCATCTGTTAAAGAACTAAATGTAAATGTACCTTATCCTTTAAACGATGAGCATACACACAGAACCGTTGCAGCATGTTTTGCGAGGAAACACACCTGGAATTGAAAAGCGAGCACAAGTTATGATGTTTTGCACTTCTGATCTGGACTAGATTCCTGTAATAATTATGCTGGTTATAGTTCACCTCAGTTGCAGCCGTGAAAATACTTCATGTAAATATTTTATATAGCAGACAGTTTTGTGTCAGGACAGTTTTGTGTCAGTTGTTTGTGGGAAGAATTGCTGTTGTTTTCTTCTTAAAGTGTGGGCCCCTTGAACAATCATTTAATAATAATAGTGTACATCTGGAATTATATAGTTTCGTTTGAATACGAGTAACGAATATTGTATACCATTTTGTCCAGAAGAGAATAATGGTTGGTTTCTTCGCGCCAAAATGACGTATAAGCTGTTGCCAGGTAGCGTCGTGGACACCCATCACTCGGAATGGCTTGGGCGCTACCCTTGTCTTTAAGAGCCCACGATGTACGTTGTGTTTACTGGTCAGTTTCTTCTCATTGGCCAGAAAGTCCTCCAAACGACATCCACCTTTGCTGGGCCAACTGAAAATAAATTCATATTTGTGAAATTTGGAGCATTATCTTTGCATTGGTTAACTCTTTCCTCTCCTATCGACAATGACTGCTAGTTTTCTAATGCAGTAATGCGTACTAAGCCACTAGTAGAGAGGTAGCGGTAATCAAATCTGAAGCTCTGTATTTACTAACCTTGCAGCCTTGTTGTGACTGGTAAAATAACAAAAGAATCTGTTTGGTCGAAATTGCGTCGATTCCACCAACTCCACATTCGACTGATCGCTATGACCAACTGGATGCCAGGAGAGAGTAGTGATGGAGATCCTGTGTCCTGCTTTCTCTACATCAAGCTAGGAAGGAAATAAGATACAGTCAGGTTTCTTCCTGATAATACTTCACCAATAATCGTCTTAAGATAGTTTTCCACTTCAATCGTAGCGAAGTGTGGTATATTTCTTTGTTTCCTGAGCACTAGTGTCGAACTAATGACTTGAACACAAAAGAAAATGCTACGATACGGTTGAAGTGGGACTTCACATGAGAGCCGTACCTTCAGTGAATGTTGTGTCGTCTCCAATGGCAACGGGTCTTGATAACTGTGATCATCAACATTGATACGATAACTCAACGGTTCTGAAAACTCATCAAATTCTGGTTTCTCCCAGTTTAAGACGACGGGAACAAACCCGGTGAGTTTGTTGACAACTCTGACGAGTTCTTGAAGACGTGTTTCAATCTGGTACAACTTCACGTTCATATCTTGCATCTGTTTGTAAATAATACATGGTGTAAGCTACATTTCATATTGAAGCAGATTCACAGACTATTAAAATAACTTGGGGAAAATAGTTTCGGTGGAAACACCCCGTTCATTTGGAGAGAGAGTCAACTCTCTTGTATAAATAGCATTATAAGTTGATAAATTAAAAAGCTGGTTCATACCTCGTCATTCTTTAACTGAGCTCCCTTTACAACGTCAGAGGTCTGTGTTAACATCTTGTGTCTGTTAATCCTAGTGAAAATATTGACTCGGACATTAAACTAAACTAATTTTTCTATTACTGGAAAAGAACTAAGCTAATTCAAATTTGAAATGTCATTTTGAACGTTTGTCAAAGACGTGATAATGAATCATCCCGTTTGACCAGGCCAGCTGGCTACATATTGGCAACCCTACTGACAATAATTTTACTAACTTGTCTTGTACATCCAACAACTTCGCAATCTCTTTGTTAGCTTCCGCTCGTTCCAGTTCCCCATACACGGTCACTTTGATTTCAGGTGCCACTGGCCTGATGGTAGCGCGGACACGCACAGGTAGTGTGATCACGGGGGGACAACCCTCGGGTACAATCTCCGCCCGCAGAATTGCCCAGTACTTCTTCCCCGGTTCTACTTTGACGAATGACACAGTGTCATCTGGTTTATGTGTTTTAACCATGGCATGTCGATGGCCAAATATTTTGTCGGGATCGGGAACATCTTGGTCGTTGTACATCTCATATGTACTTGCCTCTTTGTAGTACACCTGTTTAGGAATAAAACAAGAATAGTTTGATTCCTACCGACACTAAACTAACTTTATTTATACTGGATAGCTCTATCAGTTCTAAGCTGTTCTTCCTAGATGTCCAGTAAGGATCATCTCTTGTTGATCCAGTGTTACTACAGGAGGAAACCTAAACTAAACTAACTTTATTTATACTGGATAGCTCTATCAGTTCTAAACTGTTCTCCCTAGACGTCCAGTAAGGATCATCTCTTATTGATCCAGTGTTACTACAGGAGGAAAACTAAACTAACTTTATTTATACTGGATAGCTCTATCAGTTCTAAACTGGTCTCCCTAGACGTCCAGTAAGGATCATCTCTTATTGATCCAGTGTTACTAGTGCTGGAGTGTTCATTGATCTTTCAAAGGCTTTTGATACTTTAGATCATGAAATATTATTTACTAAATTACAACATTATGGTATAAGAGCCGTTGCACTCCAATGGATCAAGAGCTATTTCTGCAATCGTGAACAATTTGTTCAATATAATGAAACCTGTTCCTCCATGGAAAAATTAAAATGTGGAGATCCGCGAGGTTCTATTTTAGGCCCATTATTTTTTATTTTATATATCAATGATCTACCGAATGCATTAGAACTGTCAAAATCTTATCTTTTTGCTGATGACACTAGTATATATTGTTCAAATTCGGATATCAAGCAACTTGAATTTGTTTTGAACAGTGAACTTCGAAAGCTGGATATCTGGATGAAGTCAAATAAATTGTCTGTGAACATCAGTAAAACAAACTATATCATTTTTCGGCCGAGACAAAAGAAAATTAATTTAAATCTAGTTATCCAATATAACAATCAAATGATCACCCAAAAACAATACATAAAATTTTTAGGAGTATATATAGACGAACATTTGTCATGGAAGGAACATATTAATTATATTTGCAATAAAATCGCCAAGTCTGTTGGAATTATTTACCGATCACGATATCTACTGTCATGCGCAACAAGATTATCCTTGTACTACACACTTATATATCCCTATCTTACTTATTGTAATATTGTATGGTCTTCCACTTATGTAACCAACCTCAATAGAATTCTCCTTTTACAAAAACGAGCTGTACGTATTCTTACAAATTCCGAATACCGTGCACACTCTGATCCACTTTTTAAACAACTCAAAATATTGGATATATTTAAGCTAAATACATTTCACATTGGCAAGTTTATGTTTTTATATCATCATTGCATGTTGCCAACATGCTTTGATAATCTGTTTACAATAAACAATCAAATACATGGTTATAACACCAGATCTGCCGGTAACTATAGATCTCATGCTTGTCGAACTAATATTAAGCAGTTCGCCATCTTATACTCAGGACCGAATATTTGGAATTCTTTACCTACAAATATAACTGCGATAAACACAATCTCGTCTTTCAAGATGCAACTTCGTAATTTTCTGCTTAACGAATGAGGAACAGCTAACTCTGATCAATATGCTACGACCATGTTTATCGAATATTCAGTAACAATATATAAAATTATTGGAAAATCTATTATATATTTTCGTAAATTTTCTCTCTTATTATAAACTTCATTATGTTTCAATTTCATTATATGTGTCTGTAATTTAATTTCAATTTCATATTATATGTCTGTAACCCTAAATTATACCGATTAATTAAATATTTAACTTTGAATTTTTGAGATGAGGTGGCCTCTTTACACAAGCTCTAAGCTTCTTGAGGTCTCCTCGCCGACTTTATTTTATTAATATCTTGTAAATAGCTAACAGTCTTTCATTTTTTTTGGCAAATCAATCAATCAATCAACTACAGGAGGAAAACTAAACTAATTTTATTTATACTGGCTAGCTCTATCAGTTCTAAACTGTTCTTCCTGGAGGTCCAGTAAGGATCATCTCTTATTGATCCAGTATGACCACTGCACTCTTCTCTCATGTGACCGTGGTAAAAAGCCCATTACTAACCATTCTTCGTAAATTATCGTTACCTTGATTTCCTTGACTCTTGCTCCTCCAATACACGTAGGTAATTTCCAGCCAACTTTGATTGTGTTGATGTTCTTCGGTCGCAGTCGTTCTAACGTCATGGGTAGCGAGGCAGGGCACGCCACTTCAAGCACATTTGACCATTCGCTGTTACAGTCGTGCTTTATTGATAGAGCCTGAAATATTCAAAAGATCATTTCGGTTCGTGCTCTATTGAGAATTATTGGAAGTTCTTGGATGTCAGTGTAGCTTAGTTCACAGCAATTGTCAGTTTGTTCAAGCCAAACTGTTGTTTCATGAAGTGTCTGTAGTAAATTAATTCAGACTTTCTGTGCGGTGATTCAACTGTACTATGCTGTACTGCTTTTAATGTACGCATAATTTAGCACAAACGTCAGCGATAAATAGATCAATATACCTGAATCCTGAACGTGAATTCTTCCATGGGTCGGCACTCGATAAAATCAAATGATGTTTTTGTTGAACGAATGTTTGTGTAGAACTTTCCATTCACCTTTAATAAGTGAACATTAAGAAGAATTATTGAAATAATCTCTAACAGAAGACGATCTCTTAGTATTTTAGTTATTTAAAATTTTGCCATAAAAAGGTTATGTTATCACCTTGAGATGATATTCGCTGATAAAGCCATCGCCATATTCCGATGGACGATTCCACTCGATAGCAATTATATTTGGACTGCTTTTCCTGGAAGAAATATGCGTTCGTAGAGTTTAAAATTAAGTGGTGTGAACCTTCGAAACTAACCAATTAACGAACTAGCTAATTAACAATCTGGAGAGGTCAACAATCCATTGTATAAAGTGCGTGTGTGTGTGTGTGTGTGTGTGTGTGTGTGTCACCCCTATCTTCCCCAGGATTGACGCCTTGCAGTCTAGCATAGTAACTGATGAGTTAAACGTCTCGCAAAATTGCAATACATGATTATATCAGGAAATTTCTTACTTGAGTTTCAATATTGGTCGATCAATAGGAGCAGAACTTTGTACAGTCAGTTGTTTTGATCTCTGGATCACTTTACCATACACATCAATGGCCGACACGACGAAGAAATTGTTTGTTCCTGGTGTGCAACTTCGTAACACGTATTGTCTTTGGTTTGAAGCCAATTTCACGTTGATGAACTAATGGTTAAACAAAAAACAATGAGATGGAAATGTGTTCATTTAAACACAGTACTGAGATGGACATATAATACGATATATTGAAATTTACTCACATCTGGGTTCGTCACGCTGCTATGTTCCAACAGAAAATGATCAATTGGCATCCAAGCTGTATGGAAGATAAATTGGATCGGTTAAAATTATCATATAAATTGTATTTCACTCAACTTGACACATGGAAGCATGTAGCCTATATTATAGAACTGGAGGAAGACTACGTAGATATAAACTTATAAGACTACATACACTGGGCAGGGCAGTAGGTCCACTCGACGGTAATTGTATCATTGGACGTCGATGTTAAGTTCAAATACAATCCTTCTTCGTGAACTTTTCTCATGGGATCTTTGGAGGGATCCATGGAGAGCAGTGCTTCATTTCTCTCGATGACAATTGAGCCATGTCTCACATCTCGTGTTGATTCCAGACGTCTTATCCCCTGTGTTCGTGGAGTCGCTGAACCGCGGGGTGTGTAGTTGCCTGAGCTCTGTTAATAGAAGAGAGACAATCATGATTTACAAAGGTTTCGAAATGATAGGGATACCTGAAAAATACAAGCGCAACTTTGACGTTTTGAGCGTTCCTTCATTGGCAAGTTAGTGACGAAGGACCTTCGACCTGGAAACGCGGAAGTTCTCCTTGTTTTTCTCAGGTAGTTGTATTCCCACCAATCCCAAGCTTTCTTATTATTTCTTCTCATTGGCACTGTCTACACTGGCACGTTTGAAGAAAAATTCTTTCCCAGGAGAAACCTATACGACACTCGTCCAAAGGGAAATAATTGTGTGCACTCTTAATATTCCTCTTTCTAACTATGACTAACGCCCGTATTCTAAAAGCTCACTCACACTCAATGAGTGGAGGTTCAATCTGAGCTGCTCTTGAGTGTCAATACTGTTTTTGAATAGCTGAAGGTTAGTGTTGTACCTTACTATGTGACTACTCACCCTCCAGCTATTCAAAAACAGCATTGACACTCAAGAGAAGCTCAGATTGAACCTCCACTCATTGAGTGTGAGTGAGCTTTTAGAATACGGACGATAGATTTAAACCTGTGTGTGTCCTTTTATCGTTTTATTTCTCCTTCTTTTTCTCATATCATTCTTTCAACATTATTCACATATTTTGAATGTTACATTCTCGTTTAACCCATTGAGCACAAGCGCTCTTCCCTTGAGTACAATCGTCTGCCGTCAGACAGAGTAAAATAGAGCGCAATGCAAGTAAATTTAGCATTTTTTACTCACCCCATCTCTTGTTGTACCTAGTTGCCTCAGGCTCGGATTACGAGGCGACATCACACTGTAGTGAGTTAAGCCGTTGGGATTCTGTTAACAAATACAAAAATTGTGTAGACCTTTTTCACTTCACAACATTCCTAATCTTTCAAAAATGTCAAAGACTACCAACGCGCGCATTTGGGATTGAAAGTATTTTCTTTGGAGAAGTAAAAATTAACATTGGAAGAAGTGAATTCGTACTAAACTCTGAGGAATATTTATTGCCTATACATACCCAAGATGTCCATTATATTTCACTTAATTAAAAAACTAAATGACTATAATCTTGTCATGTATTTTTTCTATACACTAAATGCAATATTATCAGGGCCAAAACGTTTTTGAAATTTGACTTTACTATCGTCTGTTTTCCAATGGCAATGATCGTTTACGGAATGAGAGAAGATCATAGGCATAGCGGATTTTACCTGAGTTTGTTTTTCATGTATAAGCAGCAAAAACCATTAATAATATTTGACAGTTCTAGGTATTTAATATACACTTACCATTTTTTAAACTTAAAACTTTGTTAAGTCAACTTTATTGAAACCCTTTTAGAACTAATTTCATCAACAGTTTATCGTTGTTAATGGACACGGAGTTTTGTTTGCATCACTCTCAACGTGTTGAACACTGTTTCCATAGGGAAGACTCATTCCACCTGTTTAACTCCGCAAGTAAAACCGCGGAGAACCTCATTGGTTAAGACTTCATAATATTTTCCTTTTTGTAATTAAAAAGCCTTAATAACGTCCAACAAGGGTTTTGAAATTATATATAATTGGCGTTTTGACGAACCTGTTTTGTTTGTGTCTCAACTACATTAAAGAAATGAAGAAATCTTCAAGAGAAGTAACTTAGGGCTTGGCCTTGGGCTCGGAGCGTCGATATCTTCTTCAGTTTCGACCAAACTGATATTTGTTAGTTTATATTGCTTGGGACCGAGCAAACTGGAGATGTTTGTTACTTTATATTGCTTGGGACATATTTAGGTCACAAATAAAATGAGTTTAAAATAAATTTCCATAATTTCATGAGGACAGGTGGTCGAAAATTGAGAGCGATGGATTTTTTGCGCAAGCGTATTGTTGGAACAATGAGAAGCGTCTGTAACCACTGCGAAACTGATAGTGCATGCTGGGAAGGTGACAAAATGCTTTGCCTTTGGGAGGGAATGGGGGAATACCACAGATGACCCAAGCAATGATACTCTTGTACAAGAAGATATTCTGAAATTTTATTATGTTACAAACTATATTGACTATCAACGTTGCCAATGCCTGACACATACTCACATAGATCGTCTAAAATCATCTCATATATAATGTAATTTCTTTGTTCGTTATGTAGTCTTACATGATTTGAAAAATTTCAAAACCCATAATTAGGGTCATCATTATATATTCATTCTAAATAAACTGGAAATTGTTGAATAATAAAATTCACTCAATCAGATATATAACACACGTATTATATACAGTATTATTTCAATCACTCACACATATTATTAATTTGGTAATCAAATTCTGTCCTTATATAACTCTGTCCACATTATTGAGAGGTTCAGATTTGACTACCGCTACCTCTCACTGGCTTAGCACGCATCTGATTGGTTGATCAGATATATCAAACACATCTGATTGGTTAATCTGATATATCAAACACATCTGATTGGTTAATCGGATATATCGAACACATATGATTGGTTAATATGATATATCAAACACATCTGATTGGTTAATCAGATATATCAAATGCATCTGATTGGTTAATCTGATATATCAAACGCATCTGATTGGTTAATTAATCGGATATATCAAATGCATCTGATTGGTTAATCTGATATATCAAACACATCTGATTGGTTAATAGTCTCTTAATGGTAGTGGAAGTCAAATGTGAACCTCTCTATTAATGCAATCAAACGCACATTAGTCAATTCAACAATCAAGGTTCTGTCCAGCATTGTTTGTTAACCTTGTGAATGTCTGCAAATGCTTCTTGGGAAGATAGAAAACGCAACAACTGATGCTGAACGTGTTGAGTAGTTTGTCACAATTACTCGTAACTTGCCACTTGTCCGTTGTGCTGTCATAAACCTCGACCGTCGTTAACGATTGCTGCTGATTACGACCACCGAAGATATAAATATTGTTGGCTAACGAGCAGATTCCAGGTGCAACACGATCTGCATGACAACGAGCAATGAGGGACCACTCGTCAAGCAAACAATCGTAGACCTCGTTAGTGGGTATTGCAAGCTGGTACATCCCACTATCCTCGCTGCCACCAATAACGAATATCCGATGACCAATAGTTGCTGCGGCTGCTAACGATCTGCCGGTCTTCATCGAGGCAACTTGTTTCCACTCATTAGTCTGGGGGCTGTATCGCTCACAAGTGCTGAGGTCTTCGTTAGGATTCTTCCTTCCACCAATGGCATAAATATGATTCATGCAGGTAACAACAGCTGGGCCGCTTCGTTCTTCTCTTAACGAGGAGACCATATCCCATTGGTTGATTCTTGGGTCATAACGCCAGACTGTTTTGAGACGGCTCGTTGGGGTGCGGCCACCAACGAGATACAGGAAACCATGCAAGGATACCAACCCTGGCCAGTAGTTAGACGCCGGGAGTGAACCTGTTGACGACCATGTGTTGGTTTGCGGGTTATAGTACTCGGTTTGGGCAATTAGACCAATACCTGACCTACCGGATGTTACATAAAGCTTACCATTGCATAACGTAATTGGTGTGTTCTTATGTTCCCACTGCATTGAGGGCATAAGATACCATCCTTGCATGCTCTGGATATAACATAACGGCTGGTTACTGCCTGACAACAAAATGACAGCTTCGACGACTTGTCTCGGTTTTCTGTTAGCCGCAACCTGATCGTCGCAAAACCCTTTCAAGTACATCACCTCTTTAAGATGAGCAAGAGCCACATTTAGAGAATTCTCATTCGATAGTATCAAATTTTCTCTCAGGATTTTATCAACAATGGTTGATTCGGGAATTTCGCACAAGCGTACGTGAGGGAACAGAGTTGAGATGTTACCCTCTTTTCCAGGGTGGTGCATGATCCATTGTACAATCGCGTCAAAAACATACTCCTCTTTCTCCACCACCAAGTCGTCACTTTTCAAGACTTTAACCAGCTGATCAACCGTGAACTCGAGATGTTTCCTCTCCTGTACAATAGCAGTGAAATTACTTTGAGCAAAGCAACAAACTATCTCACTCAGCTCTTCAAAGTTATACTGCTCGGCAAAGGTTAGGGTATGAAGGAAATTTGATGTGGTTAAAAACGACTTCATGTGCACCATTGAAGCTTCACGTAGTCTGGCGAGGTTTAAATAATCTGCAGCGATTAAAACATTCTGACTTTGGGTGAGATCACCAAGATTAATTTCCCCAGTGTAGATGTAGTCTAAGACACCGTCCATTATACTGGGGCATACCGTTGGTAACTCGATTTCTCGCGCGTTTTTTTCACGTAAATCATGTTCAAACATGGCTGAAAAATAGCCACCGGCCGAGCAAAGCAATGCTTTATGAGCAGGAAACGTCTCCTCCCCAACCAACAAGACTACATCGCAAAATTTGCCTGTTTTTCGAAGTTGGTTCAAATAGCTGGTAACTTTATGACAATGTTCGCAATATTCTTCGTGATTTGAACTACAAGCTTGACTAGAACACTCTACTTGTCCCCCAGGATCATTCATTTTAAACCAGCCATAAAAACAAGATGTTTTTGTGCGATATTTTTTGAAAAGAAAATCTTTGTTTACATTTTTGAAATATAAATTTCTTGCAACGAACTTTCTCCCCAGTTTCCCAGTGCGCGGATTGAGAAACCACAGGCCGCCCAAGGACAAATCATTAATGGACGATGTCGCATTTTCTGACGCCATTTAAAATTGCAATGCATTATGGTTGATTTCCAGGAAAAATAGAAAATTCTTAGGGCAATCTAAAATGATGATTCTGAAGTTTATTTTATTGGTGAATGTTATCAAGAAAATGTACATAATGAAACAGGACAATAAGTTTGCAACGGCTTATTTACAACTGGCATGACAAAGCTGTTGCACTATAATAAATTTAGTTGTATACACAGTTGCATATGTTCAGCATATTGTGATCAATAAGCAGCCGTGATTTTTGTCGAAATATCCTGAAAGATTAACTTAAACGTTGGGCATCTTACTGACTTCCTGGATATTTTTTTCAGGTAGTTCACACACAAACCACGACAGCTTATTGTAGAATACTACCTACACTGGACCACTACGTTTGAGATATCTTTTTCAGGTAGTTCAGACACAAACCACGGCAACTTATTGTAGAATACTACCTACACTGGACCACCACGTTTGAGATATCTTTTTCAGGTAGTTCAGACACAAACCACGACAGCTTATTGTAGAATACTACCTACACTGGACCACCACGTTTGAGATATTTTTTTCATGTAGTTCAGACACAAACCACGACAGCTTACCTACACTGGACCACCACGTTTAAGTTCTAAACAAGTAACCGTTGTTATCGACTTGTTTGGAAATTGTTGGTGAGAACCGATTTTCGCAGCTTATCCCTTTTCAAGATGATATTGCTTATCAATTTAAAAAATGTTTTTCATCGTAGGAATGAATGTACAATTTTAAAAAGCTATCCTATATTATTAATCTAACAGTTCGTTATTAATGATTTTGAAATGATTTGATCTACAATGCTCTATAATTCTCTAGGATGATGATGATGACAGTGTTCCACTCTGCTCTGAGAATGAATCTTTGTATTTTGGTAAACAAATAACGTGGATTGTGATTGGTCGCTTGCTAGTCACGTGAGTATTCAAACATCTACAAAATAAGAAATATCAGTTGTTATACTTTAAATAGTAATTATGTTCAAAGCTAGTACAGGGGGAAACCTAAACTAAACTAATTTTGTTTATACTGGATAGCTCTATCAGTTCTAAACTGTTTTTCCTAGAGGTCCAGTAAGGATCATCTTTTATTGATTCAGTGTTACTACAGGAGGAAACCTAAACTAAACTAACTTTGTTTATACTGGATATCTCTATCAGTTCTAAACTGTTTTTCCTAGAGGTCCAGTAAGGATATCTTTTATTGATTCAGTGTTACTACAGGAGGAAACCTAAACGAAACTAACTTTATTTATACTGTATAGCTCTATCAGTTCTAAACTGTTCTTCCTAGAGGTCCAGTCAGGATCATCTCTTATTGATCCAGTATTACTACAGGAGGAAACCTAAACTAAACTAACTTTATTTATACTGGATAGCTCTATCAGTTCTAAACTGTTCTTCCTAGAGATCCAGTAAGGATCATCTCTTATTGATCCAGTGTTACCACAGGAGGAAACCTAAACTAAACTAACTTTATTTATACTGGATAGCTCTATCAGTTCTAAACTGTTCTTCCTAGAGATCCAGTAAGGATCATCTCTTATTGACCCAGTGTTACTACAGGAGGAAACTGGAGTACCACTAATACCCAGAGAAAAACTGAGGTGTTTGATAGTCACACTCTTGTGATATTTAGTGAGGACATTTTAACATCCTCCTACCTTATAATATTTCTCCTTCCTCGATGAATTTCTCTCATCATATTGCTCGCTGATGGAAGATCCATTGTACTGGCTTATACTACTCACGTCCGAGGAAGTTGGTGATAGAGGGGCCTGGTAATGGAATGGTTGTCCAGTCACGTGACCGCGTGATGTATCAACGTTGATGGTACCTTGAAAAGCTTGACCTCGGATACTTGTCACTTTCCATGTTTCCACTTCCGGCTCTGGTTTTTCAACTCCTGCTCGACCTCTGGCGCGGTATGTGTCTTGATTGTAGTACCTCTCATGCGCGTTCCTGGAACCTACTTCTGTGGCTTCTAATCTCGCAAGGGCTTCTGGGGGACAATCTCTGAGATGAACTGTATATTCAGTAGTTTCACGAGAATCCATAGCATCACTCGTCCGCAGTCCTCCTCGGCCATCACTGGCGTCCAGTTTTACAACAACTCCACTCCCTCTGACGTCACTAGTACCCAGTCCATCAACAGACCTGGCTCTATCACGGTCGTGCATGCCACGGTAGCTGACCTTCTGGTACTGTAGTTCACTCGCCCCACGACTCCGCCCTTCGTATGCCAGCCTCTCATTAACTTGATCAACAGTCTCCACCCGCCAAGATCCAGTCTGATTTGGAGTGACTTCGAGCTCAATTACTGGAGGAGGGGCGAGGGGGGTTTGACCCACTGCCCTTTCCCCAGCATGTGACACACCCACATCGTAACGTCCGAGGTACTCCCCTCTCCCACTTGCAGCTGCGAAGGACTGGTACTCTTCTCTCTGGTACTGTGATGACGTCGTCCTTTCTTCTATCCTCTCACGTGATCTGTCACGTGCCATGCCAGCAACTCTTGCGCCGTCAGCTCTGTCACGTGATTCTGACGTCATCATCTCCTCTCGCCGGCTAGAACTCAAGCCACTTGTGGTAGATATACGGGTTTGATCATCCTGGGTTTGCATACCCTCGTTAGATCTAGCCCCGGATATTGTACCCCCATCACGTTGGGAGAAGTATACTGCCCCTACCCCGGCCCGACCATTTTCCCCGTCAAAATGTATAGCGACTGTCTGGGTCTCAGTCTCCGGCAGTGCTGACGCGCCATCGGTCTGTGTGGCTCCAGTAGCGAATTGTACGCCTGGTCTGGGTGGTGCGTCTATTTCATCTGAAGTGAGTTCTCTCATCATTGTTCCATCCGTTTTCTTTGCTTTTCTGAATAAAATATTGAAAACATGAGGTGTTAATGGCGCACTTTAGATGTCAGTGGATTGCCAGATTAATATGGGTCTTGGAATGTTAGTTTTTCATTAAAATACAAGCCAATTGTCAGTAAAATATTTTGTAAGATATCAGTTGCAAATTATTGTTTCATCGTTTGTCAGTTATCAGTTAAGATATGTTATCATGCTGTCAATTCAATCTGACGCTCTTTTATAATAATAAATGTTTGTGCTGAGGGTAGCGACGTATACTTTATCTCAATCCAATGTGGACTATGTCCGTAGTTTGTTTGTGAATGACCCTCTCACGCAGGGTTTGTACTTACTTGGCACAAGGACAACAACCACAGCAGACACAACATGGACAATAACGACAACATAGATATAACAATCCCAGCAGGAGTAACAAGAGAAGTAAACCAAGTAGAATCCACAGAAGAATCCCTGGACATTGGAAAAGTAACATAGGTTGAACTTCAGTGTTATTTTATAAATCAAAGCTCGAATTTGCTGTTTACAATCGCCCAAAAAATGCTTTTAGATTTGCGAATCTTTCTCGCTATATCTTTGCCATAGTTTTGCGAGTATATGAGTCAAGTATAACTATCACTATGGGAACTTGTCATTGACAGCGTGTCACCAACAATTAATCTTGAATTTTGGTTAAAGAAACACGAACGGATGAATAAACTCCTGGCTGTAAATCATCAGTACGTTCATGCAGTTTCCTCTCAACGGTTCCAGAATGAAATACAGGGATTTTATATTTTGTCAGTGACATATGTCCACCTTTTGTTGTTGGAAATCTCAGTTTGGTGGGCAGGGGTGGGGGGTGCAGCCTACGCCCTTAACCCCCCCCCATCCCCAGCTCAGTGTCTGCCATGACCATTTGAATGAGAACTTACAGAATGCTTCATCGACATCTTCGCTACCTCCACTAGCGATCGGTGCGGAAAGGGGAGGAACTAAACGTAAAGAAAAGTTGAGTTATGTCTGTTGAAAACATATGACTTCAAATTTCTCTTCATGATATATTACCTCGACATCCAGAGACTGAAACACGCATACATATGTCATTGGTCCATTCCAAGGGATAAAATCTGATAAAGCGTGCGCTAGGTTCGTCTGGCAGGACATAGCTCCTCACCATTGATCCATTTGTATTACCATCGTAGATCTAAGAAGAAGACATAGCATTGAAAAGATTTGTATGCTTATTACCTCCACCAGGGCCGGTTGTTCAAAGGTGGGTTAGCGCTAACCCTGGGTTAAAATTTAACCTGCTGTTTTAGTTTATGTATTTCTGCACGTCTGTTTATTTCAAAACTTCAGAGACGTAAACTCCTATCGATCCAGACAAGATCTCTGAAGAAATATTTCCAAATTTATAGACAAGCTGTCAGGAAATTTGCTTTGAATTTTAGGTTAACGGAGGGTTAAGCTAACCCAGTTTAAACAACTGGCCCCTGTTTTTTTCAAAACTTTTGGAAATAAACTTCTATTGATACAGACATGAGTTTTGGAAAACTATCTTCATGTTTCTATTAATTCATCCATTTGTGGGACTAATTGACATTGTCCAAGGGCACATTGATTACATTTTCATTAAATGTGGGTGAAAATGTGATGCGAAATTAGCAAACGTTTGTCTTGCTTTGCCCGGCAGACTCAACTAAATATGTACTTAGCCCATTGTATAATTTATGCACATGACACATAACTTAATTCTCTGGCAGAGGTATATGCAATCTCCAAGTGCTCTCTAGTTGTGTTTATAATCTTGTATTCCCGTTACAGATATCTTCAGGTTTCCAGTTGAAATGTCCTGCACTGGATGACAATTCAACTTACTTTCACGGAATTGTTTTCCGTATAATCTCTCCACCCTGATCCATCAGATCGTCGGAAATCCAAAAAGAATTTTGTCACCCAGGCCGACCTATTTCCACTCTGTAATCCTTGGATTTTTATTTCATTGACTTCTGTCTCACCACCTTAGGAAGAAAACAAACGTTTGCTCTCAAGGGTTTTGAACGTTAATTTCAATGTTGTCCTGGAAATGTTTTGGATCTCATCTTGATGATATTTTCGATGATATTTTCTAGATATCATCATTAACGCTCATTTCCACTCAGGAAAATTTTCCGTCGAAAGAAAATTTTGTAAAATGTGATTGGCCGACACAAATTTTCCGTCGGAAAAAAATTTTGAAGTTGAAAATTTTCAACTTTTAACAATGATATTTTCGGAAAATCCGTGGAAATTTTTCTTGAGTGGAAATGCGCCTTGATTGGCCGACTCAAGTTTTCCGTGGGAAAAAATGTTGAAGTTGGACCGCTACATGCATACCCTGGATTCCAGAGCCTTCGACAGTAAATAATAAATTGAAACGTCGCGAAGGCTCTGGTTCAACGGGAAGATTCTTTGATTAAACCGCGCCAATCACAAAACAGAATTAGTGGTTTTAGTAGTTTAATCAAAGAATCTTCCCGTTGAACCAGAGCCTTCGCGACATTTCAATTTATTATTTACTGTCGAAGGCTCTGGAATCCAGGGTACCACATGCATTGCCCGGCAATGATATCACAGCCACTGATCTGTATAGATTGCAATTGCACTGCACTGTGCCCAACGAAGGGCCTGCGGAGGAGGCAGGGACTGCTAGGGGAGTTTGGAACTGAAAGAGCAATCCATGGCGAGCCTGAGGGAATTTGTCAGGTCATGTTATAATAAGACCAGCACATGCTAGGGGAATCCAGTGGCATGCTCCCCCGGAACATTTTAAAGCCCTGAATGGCCATTTTCTGCGATTTTTGGGTGTAAATAAACACGGAATAAACTTAGTTTAGTTTACCGTGCAACTGAACTTACCAAAGTCGATCTCCAGGTATTGGAACTGGTCAGTTATACTGGCACACCACGCATTAAAACCATTCAATCTTGCTCGATGTGGCTGGAACCCAGGCATATACGAGGACGCGAAGAACGCGGTGTCGTTGATCGAGCGATTGTCGTCGATAATTCCCAGTTCCCCACATGCTAAAGGAACAATATATGACTTTTATTTTATTTGGTGAGAGTTTCACGTGAGAATAGTCCATGAATAAACACCTGGCAAGAAGTTCATGCGGTTGACTCTCACATGCCTGTAGAAAGTAGAACGTTATGGAGCGACACTACCTCCAAGCTCTAAAGGGCTAACTCCAAACCAAAATATACACTTGAGTAACTTGTGTAATTCAAGAGTTGAAATATGAATTCTGGAGTTACTGGCTAACTCCAAAAATCATTTGGAGCTAAGTATACAACTGCAAAAATAATTTAGGAGCTAGGCATCTAAGCCTGGAGTTACTGGCTAACTCCAATAATCATTTGGAGCTACGTATAACTCCAAAAATCATGAAAAAACAAGGTATCTAAGCCTTGAGTTACTGCCTAACTCCAAAAAGTATGTGTATAGCGAGGGGAGTCAGCCTATAGCCGCTAGGTACATACATGTAAGGTTGAAGTTACTTGCTGTGTTGCTAACTCCAAAAATCATTTGGAGCTTGTTATCTAAACCAGGAGTTACTGACTAACAGGAATAATTGGAATAACTGCAAGAACTCTCAGAATGCACTTCTATATTCCGCTGTATTAAATAAGACTGAAATACCCAGAATATGCGCATAAACATGACATTGACACACTTGGCATTTTGTTCTCGTTCAGAGGCTAAATTTTGATCTGCAGTTGACTGTTGAAGCAAACCCATTCTCGTACACCGCGTCCTTGTCATGCCCTGTTGATCGTGTGTATAAGGCGGGCTCTGGGTACGAGAATGTGGCATAGTCTAGCTCCAGCCTAGTCCCAGGCTCTCTCTCTATTCGCTGCTTTGATATATTTAAATAAGTCTTAAAAGTTTTATGCCTGGGTGTGCTGTGCGGAACGCTTCAGGTCCCAGTCTCGTACTACATCCACTTTTTTTCTCGCGCTTGCTTCAGAACGACTGGGACTAGGCTGGTCTAGCTCCATTTAAAGATTGGCTACCTCCACAAAAATAAAATCTACAGGTATGGACTCTCAACAGTTCCAGAATGAAAACAGACTCTAGGGACTTTATATTTTGTCAGTGACATATGTTCACCTTTTGTTGCTGGGAATCTCAGTTTGGTAGTATGTGTGTGTGTGAGTGGGGGGGGGGGTAGCCTATGCCCCTCACCCCGGTATACGCATAGATTTTAATCAAGATATGAGATGACCCACCTCCCGGACATTGACTTCTTCTGCATGTTTCCGTTTCGTTTCGTGCTCCTTTGCAACCTTCGCGTCTGTTTTCACATGTTCGCGTGCGTGATCGCGAGCAACCCGTTGGTGTTTGTGACGTGGAGGTACACGCGCTCCATGGTACCCAGTCCCTGAGACCATCATCTAAAATAAATGAACATGAGAAAGCTGGTTGATATTATATATTTTCCAGAATGGCCACCTTTTGGATATAAAGTAGCCTTTCTGGCCTCCTTTGCAAGCGAGAATTCTTTTGAATGAGACTTATGCATAACACTTATTATAACAATATAGTGCCATCCAGTCATGATCCAGTGATCAGAATGTTCCATCGTGATTATGATTGTTCAGCTCACTCCCTATCAGGGCTTTTCAGTGACCGATTACATCGAGTACTACGCTTACTTGTATTAACTACTAAGCTTAGACTATTTATCTTTACAACAATTGTGATATTACTTTCCTAACTGTGTTTATCCTAACCCACCCTGTCAACTTTCCCTGTGGGAGGGAACCGGAGCGCCGAGAGAAAACCCACGACTTTCAACAGAGCGTTGACTGACTCTTTTCACATGAGTCCACACATGAGTCCGTAGCGAGAATCGGACCCAGGATCTCAGAGGTGAAGGCGCTGCTCTGACCATGGATTGTAAAATTTATTTTATTATCCATGCTCTCACGATTGCGCCACCGAATTAAGCCCCTTGTGTGAATTAAGCCCCTTGTGCCCCTTTTTCAATGTTTTGAAAATCCTATTAACTAATGCCACCCAGACTGCACTTGGCACAGTGAGCTATTGCGTAACATCATTCACTACGTTCTTATACCTGTCTGACAGCCATATATGTCTATCCTTGTACAAAGTCTACCCACGGATTCTTGCGGTCGGAAACGAACGTATTGTGCACGGAAGGAAATCGTAAGATTACTTTCAGCGATATCAGAACCAGTTGACATGCCAGGAAAGGCGCCAAAAAATTCCTTCGCTGAACACTAAAACAAAATGAAAGTTATGTCTCAATTTTTCAAACCCCCATTTTCAAACTAATAATTCATGAATTACAAAGGAAATGGGCACTATAATCGTTGTCTTGATACCAGAGGGCCTATATGTTTCGCTCCTGGTAAAGTCGAATAGAAATTCCGTCTACAAAACCCGTCCATAAATGAAGTCGACTTTTGTATTGCATTTCTTTGTAAATACTGGTTTGTTAGAAATATGAAATCATCTCAAAGTAGGTTTAAAAACTCGGCAGTACCCTTCTTTTTCAAAATTTCTTTCGGTGTTTCATTTCACTATAATGTATGACCTCGCTAAATAATGCACTTACCCACCTCAATTTTTATTTTGTCTAGAGTGAAACCTTTGGAATTGGAACAAGCAATGCCATGTGTGAAAATAGCGTTCCAAAAAGGTACGGGTTTTTTCACGTTTCTACGGCAAGCTATCCCGGTGCAGTGGAAACGTAGCCTTCATTATTACTTCCAACTTACTTGTGGTTTAAGTCCATTTTTAATGTTTGTAAAAACTCTTCCATCTTCGCTATGATCCACTTCATAAGAGGTGACGTAATCCTCTGTTCCATTCTCGCCCTGCACCGCTAGTCTTGTGACATTTGTGACGCTGCCTGATGGTGAAATCATGAAAAAATGTCAGGATTTGAGAATTCTAGTTTGATTCCTGTAATATGCAGTTGTCTCATTCTAATTTCACCTCTCAATTATAATCTCACATGTGAGAAGAGTGTTTCCAAACACTGCAGATTTTCTTTGGATATCACGGTTTCATCCTATAATAGACAAGGGATGCATGGCCCTGGCTGGACCATATGGCTGGACCCAGGGCCGTAGCTAGACGGTCACGCGATAATTGGGGTGGTGCATATAGAGGATATTACCCGGCGGCGCGAAGATATGACTTTTATCTTCGAGTGGTGAAAACAATAACACGAGAAGATAAAAGTCATATCTTCAAGCCACCGTGTAATGTTCTGTTCATTATATAGTCCCAAGCAAAAAATTGTGAAATTTCACACTCAAAAGCAAATTGGAAAAAGTCACGTGATCGATATCTTCACCAGTGAAGATATGGAAAGTATCTCACTGTGTATTTTTCAGTATCTCACTCTCTGCTATACTGATAAATTCATATATTCATGTTCACATACCGGAAAAACAATCTCTTTCAAAAGAAAATCCGTCGGGCAGAACACGAATATATGAATATGCACCCCCCCCCCAATTATCGATCTAGCTACAGCCCTGACTGAACCTCTAGAAAGAGGTGTGTTAGTTTTGTAAGTTGGGAAACGCAGTAGCGTATACCATACATAACATCAGCATACCTAGATCTACTGTGAGAGAATGGTTTTTAACTGGAATGCACCAAGCTTGCTTCGCGTTGACTACTGGGATAGCTGTCAGAATGTAACTCGCATCAAAATCGGATAATGTGGGATTGATAAGATTATCCCGAAATATCCATCCGCATTTCGTTACCCCTGTATAAAAAAAAATTGGACAAACTTTTTAAGATGGAGTTTGAGTGTCAAAACAATTTGAATTTGGATACGGTAATGACTGACTATAGCCATCCCTTCATTGAAGATTGATATTGACTCTAACACTTAAAATTGTTTCCGTTTATACTTAAACATTTTTATTCTAATGAAAGAGCTATAATTCCCTGTTAATCGTTACTGATATTGTATGTTGAAGTTCAGAAATTAAGTGTTCTTAAGGTGGCTGTGTGTAGTTTATCGTATTCGACGATCACAAGTAGTTTTGTAACACTGAGAAAATTAGATTGCGATTATAACAACTGTCAACTTGCTTGCAAATTTTAAAAAGATTACAAAAATCAAACCGTTTGACACTGATAGTGTGTGACTGTTAAGTCTGTTTTTGTTCCCATATTGGAACGGCCATGATTTTCGTATTTTGCTCTGTCTAACAATACCACCCAATACGTTTACACTGTATTGACCTGCTTCGTACTTTAATAAGTCCCGTTTTATTTATCTAAGCAACGTCATCTTCATCTCGTCATCAAACGTAAAGTGTTTTAAGAGCGAGACAGTTCCATACAGAGTCGAGTACTTCCATTGATCATCTGTTTACCAGACGATTTTATTTTACAGTGAAAAAGGTTCTCTGGTGCAGAAATAGTGTATTGTCTACCTTCGTTTACTTTTGATAGAATACAGAAATAATACGTGTGTATTCACAATTTTAACATTACATCTAGTATTACACATGAATATAATCTGTATGTATATGTAACCCTGACAAGTTAAGATTTCTATAAAAAAAAACTCTATTAAACAATGACGAGTAAAGATTTCTATAAAAAAAAACTCTATTAAGAATCTTATTAAAATGTTTGACACTAACATTTTTATTCACTCTCAAGCATTTTAATAAAGTTTTTTATAGAAATCATTATACTCGTCACGTCGTTACAATCCTGCAACGGTATTTACCAAACCATTGAATTATCTATATGAAAAATGAAATAACTTACCTTGACTAAATTTTATTGATAAAAATATCCAAAACAGAAACACGACTTTACATTTCTTGATGGTTGAAGAAACTATTTTGTTGGACATTTTATAATGATGAAAACGAAACCAGTCAAAGTTAGTCACTCGTCAGTCAGTCATATAAATCTTTCCAAGTCCTGTAGGTGTGCCAGAGTGACTCTAAATCCATCGTCATAAGCCGTAACTGTACGTTTTGGTCGGTAAGGAAATGTCTCTTGTTCCCCAAACAAAAGCTGTGAGATTGATCTAGTGCAAGACAATACTGATATGGTTAATGTTCGTCCGGGGATCAATGTAACTCTGTATTCAGAGCGGCTAATGCTGTTTAATACGGTCATATCGACGATATTTAGCACTAAATGCGTGAGAAATTGTCCACACACACACACGAAAGTAGGTTCTCTTTAACTTAGTTCAGTTTTAAGACAGATTAAAGTTCTCATTTCTGAATTTTGCATTTCAACTTCGAGCATTTAAGTTGTGATATTAAAACTGCATTTTGAAATTGTTCAAGCGCATAATGCGAGATTTACTGATGACCAATATAAGAATTAAGAAAGATTTATAAGTGGTTTTAATGAGAGTATAATTTTAAACATTAAACAATGTACTTTAATATTTTGTACTCTTTAGTAGCTGTTAAGTATGAAAGCTAGTGAGTCTAGTGAGCGTCATTAACCATTACATGGATGACGTCAATGTCTCATCCTATCCACCCATAATCCTTTGCCATCGGCGAACGTGGTGGGTTTCAGAAAATAGACCTTACCGATCAGTTCTCTTTTACGCAATGACCTCGTTTCCATGTTAACTTATTTTAGCATGTCAGGAGCAGATAAAGATTTGATTCCCATGTTTTCCTGGACGAATTTGTTTCTTGCTGTTCTTAGGCTTGACATGAAAACGAGGCCATTGGGTAAAAGAGAATAATCGGTAAGGTCTATTGATGTCTTCTATTTATTTGCTTCCATCTACAAGACTACTATAAATCAAGGATGACATTGAAGGGTCAATTCCTGCCAGAAGGCCTGTAGTTGCATTTTTTACAGTTGCTCCAGGTTAGGTGTAATAAATATATAAAATTCACACTAGAAATGTCCATGTACTAAACTCTTCAAACATATTATAAATGAATATTATTTTCTCAGTGTGATCACATCACCAGCTGTAGGGCCTATCTAGAGGCCTACGGACTAGGCTGGGTGGCCTATCAGAGAAATTTGGGGGCCCGGGCCAAATTTTTTTCTCAGACAAATTCCTGTCAAAACATGGGTAAAATCCTTTTTTTGGATCAATATCTGTAAAATTTAGGTTTAGAAAATTTTTTCTCATACCATTATCTGATTGATTTATATCAAAAAACGTTCAACAATTTTGCAAATTTGAGGCCCCCCTTAAACTGGGGCCCGGGGCAAATTGCCCCCTTTGCCCCCCCCCTCCCTCCCCCCTGAAAGGCCCTGATCAGTTGCATGATAGTGCTTACAGACAGTTGGTTCAAAATTAAATTCCAAGGTGTATGTCAAAGATTTATAACGTTTTAATCATATATTCACACAAGTCATGATACAATCTTCTATTTTTTCAAAATTATTTCCGTTTCCTTCGCATCCTCCGTAAGTAAAATGTTTGCAAGTCTTGGAAATTTTGTCGTAGTAAAATCTTGGAAAATCAGCATAGCATGGTCCACCATCTTTTTCTAAGAAACACACATCACTGGGATTTGTTGCTCCGACTGTTTTGATTCCTAGATAGATTTAGACAGATCAAATGTTGTATGGATTAGTGGCTCAGTGGGTGTCTAAACTACATGAAAATGATTAAAAAATTCAGGTAGTTCAGACACAAACCACGACAGCTTATTGAAGAATACTACCTACACTGGACCTGTGGACCACTACGTTTGAGATATCTTTTTCAGGTAGTTCAGACACAAACCACGACAGCTTATTGTAGAATAATTAATTAGTTCCTACATTGAAACATAAGTATTTTGTCATAAACTTACTGTAACATATAACCATAAATATGATCGCGATATTTAGAAGAGTGTTTGGTCGAAGCATCATCACTTTCATAATTTTCATTACTACATTTCCAGCTTTGCAGTTTGTGTCTTCAGCTGACAACTGAGTAAATACGCGGGCCAGATAGCAACGTCAGTAAATAGGTCAATATTGGGGATGTCAGAACTGAGCAATCCAGAATAAATAAAGTTAGTTTTATATCATAATTTACGTTTCACATAGTGTTCATTCTTTTAGTTTTAATTTTCTAGAACGTCGAAGGTATCCTCACGGGCAAGGACTGGGATCTAATGTTTTCGTTTGTTCAAAATGGCAGAAAAATGTGCAACAAGACTTGTTGTAAAACGTGGAAATAAAACAGCTATATTTCGCTTTTTGTAATGGAAATAAACATCCCTCAAGATGCCATAACTTCACTAGTTGATAAGCTTTCAGAGAAAATATTTACAGAAGAGCACAGTGTTAGACAAAATGGTCCTTTCAAGGTTCATTTCAACAAGAAGATAGTTGGTCTACTACGTAAGGTTGCATTTGATGGTTTGTTATCAAAGCAAGATGGAGGGTTTGTTGAAACAGAACAGAATTTTAATGTGAAAGAAAGGCTATGTATTGTTGGATATAAATTGAAAGCTTATGGCCTGGCTAGCAAAGCAAATCTTTTGGAGAAACTGGTTTCAAGTCTTGGTTAGTATCTTCTACCAAGTGAATAATAGTATAGTGTAGAATTTCTACACTATACCACACAATACTATACAGAAGTCCATCTCCATTGTTTTTTGCATAAGCTCTATTTGTCATGATTTGTCACTCGGGAAGTACCGTAAACAGAAGCAGCCCCCCCCCCTAGAAATACTAAAAATGGCACATGTCCAGGGGGGTGAATGCTTCTGTTTACGGTACTTGCCGAGTGACGAATGATGACCTATAACGCTTACGCAAAAAACAATGGAGATGGACTTCTGTGTAGTATTCTGTGACTATGCTATGCTATTATTATGCAAAATTGCAAAGCCCCAATCACAGAATAGGAACCTTACAGAAGGTAGACCTCTTGGTTTTCTCAATGATTTTGGTGTACCTGTTGCAATGCTGTTGCCATCATCTTAGCCAACATGCATACAAGAGGCATTCACACCCCTCCCCCCTGAAAATATTTTTAAAAGTGGATATTCATAGGGGTGAAAGCCTCTCGTAAGCACTGGCTAGGAACATTGCAAATGCATTCTGACAATGAATTATTGCAAATCATGGTGTTGGTAGCAGTTACCCTTTTATAAGGTTCCTATTCTGTGTCCACAGTTTTAATTTGGTCAGCCAATCACTGTAGGGCTAGTTAAACATAATTTGCTGATCAGACCTGCCAAATGCTTGTTGCCCAAACTGTGAAGTTTGGTCTACATTGGAACATACATGCAGACATTTTAGCTGAGTTTCTGTGAGTGCATTTTCAAGAAAATACTGCAAAATGCACATATTTGATTAATTAAGGTGTGCTTCTGATGTATTTGGAGGAAGCTTCATAGACATGTTTTTCTTTGTAGATTTCAATGTAAGTCGGTCGTCGGTATATACAGGACATTTAGATGTCGTTAGTGAAGTTGAAGCTGTGGTTAAGATCTTGTTGGCTCTCTCAAAAGAAGCAGAAATGCTGAGCCATGATCCCTGTGAAGTTTGGAGAAAAGTTGATCCTTGTTATCAGGTGATTATAGATCAATGTCACAGAATAAAGACACACAGAAGGTTGCAATAATTCGTCATCAAAATACTGTCACCATGTTCCTAGCCAGTGCGGTTATGAGAGGCATTCACCCCCCTGAACATCCACCATTTTGAATATTTTAGGGGGTGAATGCCTCTCATAAGCACACTGGCTAGGACCATGGTGACACTCTAAGACAAGCGTTAAGTCGTCATGAAAATATTTTGTGCACTTAAATTGGATAAGACTCTATACCAATCTCCGTTGACTCGATAGCTCAATGGGTAGAGTGGCGGTCTAGATACCCGAAGATGCGAGTTCAAATCCCGCTCAAGCCAACAAACTTTTCGTTGGTCGATTGCAGTGTCAGATTAATATGAAACTAGCATTGCAACGGTTACACCAAAATCATAGGCAAAACCCAGAAGTCAACCTTCTGTATGGTTCCTATTCTGTATCAACGTTAGTAATATCGATTGATTGTTGTATGTATATTTATTTTTCAATCTAGATTTCCCTGAATGATCAAACCAGCTTATCCCTTGATAGTGGAATTGTTAGAGACCATCAAATTGAAATTGACTATCAATATTTTCCCACTCAAATCTTTGAAGCTTCACCAACATTTGGTATACCAAGGAGAGGTTTTGAAAGTGGTGGTGATTCTTTGCAATTCAATGTACGCTTAGTCACTTTCTAATGCTTGAACTTCACAATCGTGTTTATCAACTGGGCTTCATTTCCTTTACAGATTTTCAATCAAGAACCAGGATCTTGTGGTCTTACTAAATGGTTTGGTTCCAAGGTTTGTATGTACTGTAGATAGAACCATGCTGTTTGCCCCCCACTCCCCTATAGTATCCACAACTCCCCCAAGTTGCTAGAAAATTAAACCACATCAACCTGTGCTCTTAGCAGTGATAACTGAAGGGTGCATCTCCCTGAAAAACACCATTAAAAAAATCACCTCCTTTATAGGACTTCCAAAAAAAGTGAAGCCCTTAAAAACCCCATCCCATGTAAGATCCCCCTGGAAAATACTCCCTCTTTAAAAAATTGTACCCCCTCCCTAACAATTCCCACCACTTTCCCCCTAAAAATATGCATGCACCCACCCCTCTGAAAAACTCCCCCCCCCCAAAAAAAAAAACTCACCACCTTCCACCCACCTCCTTGTTACTTAACTAAATTTACTATAAGCTTAGCTACAAAACTAAGTTTCTTATTTGATGTATTAGCCCTTAAAAACCCCACCCCATGTAAGATCCCCATTCACCTTTCACCCACCCCCTTGTTACTTAACTAAATTTACTATAAGCTTAGCCACAAAACTAAGTTTCTTATTTGATGTATTTGCAGAGAAATGATTCATTCAGTGAAAGAACAAGAAGTACTTTATACAGTGCACTGATCCACAGTAGAACTTCAAACATGGAAGTTAAATTGCAACTACCTGAGTTATCAAGACAACAAGATCTTAGGTAATACACTAAATTTATACTGGATAGCTTTATCAGTTACAAACTGCTCTCCCTAGAGATCCAGTATAGATACCTCTATCATTCTTAAATGATTCTTCATAGAGCTAGAGTAACACTGTAACAAACATCACTTATTGTTTCAGTGTTGCTGCAGGAGTACCCAAAGAAAACCTGAGGAAAGTCTCTTCTCATATGCAGCTGGGGCAAAATTATAATCACATAACTTTATATGGGGCAGAAATTAAATCCTACCAACATATAATGAGAACCAAGTATTTAATAGTGTTTTATCCCATTTTAGGTTGAAAGCTCTGCAAACCACTATGGTAAGTCTACAAAATATGTCATTTAACTCATTTTCATTCTGTATTTTTCCTTTAAGAAAAAAGCAAAATTAATTTACTTGTTAATATAAATATTGTTAGCTAAAACATGTATTATATATATTGAACCAATTTAGATTCATGCACTTTATTTTAATCAAAACAATATAGGGGCCTTATATCAAAAGTCCAACAGGATTTCAAAAGGTCCCTTGCTCCTTTATATTATTGTATTTTAACTATATTTCCATTGTAAATATTTTTGTGAGCAAATATATTCTATTCTATTCTATTTTACAATTATTTGAACTTGTACTGTACACTAACATATTGTTGATGTAGGTGACAGAAGATGAAGGTTTTGAAGATGCTTCAGATGGATTATCAACAAGCTCTACCTTCAGTGATGATTCTGGTACACATGGTTTAGAAATTTGGGATGAAGCTCTCAAGTCAAAACCATCACGTTTTTTTACATGGGAAGGAAGAAAACAAATGTATGTCTTGTGTAAACACTTGTGATTTTGGTTGAAACTACATTACCTGAAAGTTTTCCATTTCAAGCTTATATATGCCCTTCATAGTGCTGAAACAGATTTCGATTCAACTCTCAATTTCCATTACTCTTCTTAGACATTCTTTCTTAGCTATGATTTATAGACAATTTACAAATACATAAATCTTTCATCTTGTAGTATTTCCAAAGCCTGCAAACCCTACCTTACTGAAGCAGGGTCAGAGATTGTCAACTATTTATGTGATATGAGAATGGCTGAAGCTTGTTTTCTTATCAACTCTCAGCCTGAGACTCTGAGATATCTTCACATGACTGAATTCATAAGAGATTGTCTGATGCTACTCATTGGAGTTCCTTCACAAACCTTTCAATTGGAGAAGGTTAGGCATCTTCTATTAACTAATTTATTAACTGTCCTATGTTCTAATTGAAGATAGATTAATTGTCCTGTGTTCTAATTGAAGATAGATTAATTGTCCTATTTTGTAAATGATCTGGTTCTGCAGGTTGAAAAATGACAAATTGTTTTCATTCAGAGTACAGGATCATTCCATGTCTCCACCACAGTTCGATTGAGTGGTTGTTCACCGGACGCCTTACAAAAGACGCTCACAGAGCTGGCTAAGATTGGCACGAACTATTTTCGTCTCAATAAATTCACAACGTGTCAAAGACATTCGACTCTAACACGAAGCAGCGTCTTGAGAGCGTTCATTAATGGATTGAAAACATGTCTACAGAAATATAGGCAGTTTGTCATCACAGTACAAGGTTAGTTTTACACTTTACAGGTCAACGTAAACTTGTTGTACATCATTCAAAACGATACCTTTTGTGTGTGTTGAATATAAAGTATCGTTTTCAATGATGTACAAAAAGTATCGTTTTCAATGATGTACAAAAGGTATCGTTTTCAATGATGTACAAAAAGTATCGTTTTCAATGATGTACAAAAAGTATCGTTTTCAATCATGTACAAAAAGTATCGTTTTCAATGCTGTACAAAAAGTACCGTTTTCAATGATGTACAAAAAGTATCGTTTTCAATGATGTACAAAAAGTATCGTTTTCAATGATGTACAAAAAGGATCGTTTTCAATGATGTACAAAAAGGATCGTTTTCAATTATGTACAAAAAGTATCGTTTTCAATGATGTACAAAAAGGATCGTTTTCAATGATGTACAAAAAGGATCGTTTTCAATGCTGTACAAAAAGTACCGTTTTCAATGATGTACAAAAAATATCGTTTTCAATGATGTACAAAAAGTATCGTTTTCAATGATGTACAAAA